CCCAGTCCTCGATAGAGTCCAGCTGCTTTTGTAGTCCATGGCTGCTACTAGAGCTATGTCACTAGAGCGATGTCATCAGCATAGGCAAGAGCATCTACGGTGATGTTATGGATACTATATCCTTTGTCCAGGGTCTGGAGACGGTGCAGAGCTGGTTCAACTGTTAAAATAAAAAGGAGGAGGCTGATGGGGCAGCCCTGGCAGACACCAGACAGCATTGCGACTGGTTCAGTGTACCCAGTGCAGGTACGGATCCTGGTGGTAGAGTCGATGTATAGTTGTTGGATAGTGGTGATGGCGTCGGGGAGTAGCTTGTGCCATTTTAGAGACTTCCATATTACACTGTGCGGAATGCTGCTGAAAGCATTGGCAATGTCGAGCCAAGCTATAAAGCACTCCCTGCGGGTACGTCTAGCGTCTTGGATGATTGATTTCAGCAGGAAGTTGTGCTCGACGCACCCCTGGTAGTGCAGGAAGCCTTTCTGTGCCGTAGATATTCTGTTGTTGGCCTCGCACCACTTGAGGAGTCTGTCCGCAAGACGTGCTGTATAAAGCTTCCCAAGGGTGTTAGAAAGGCATATAGGCCGCCAATTTCTTAGATTGGTGTGGTCACCCTTTTTATGGATAAGGACGGTGGTAGATTCTCGCCAGTCATGTGGTACGTGCCCTATCCGTTGGACCGTGTTGAAAACAGCAGATAAGATGGTGCTTCTGGGATCGACCCTCTGCCAGTGTAAAATAGCGGATCTTGTCTGGGCCGGGGGCAGTGTTATGGCCCTTGGGGATGCGGGCGGCTACTTCTTCTGGTGTAAACAGGGCGTTGATTGGGTCACCAGTTGTAGGTGCAGGGTCCGGTACTGCGGGAACTGGAGAGGCACAGGCGTGTGGCTGCACCTCGTTGATGTTCTTGAAGTGCCTGTGAATACTTATTGCATCTACTTGGCAGAAACGGGAGTCCCCGCCAACAATACGGTCAAACGCCCATTTTCTGTTTGTACGATATAGTCTCTGGATCGCGCTGGCTTCAAGTTGGCTTGGGGGGTTGTGGCCAAGAGCGTCGTTCCGGCCCCATCTTGGGCCCTGTATGTCACAGATATCATAGGTTAACCGTATGAACTCCTGGAGGATGTGCTCGAACATATCCTCATCAATCGCGGCATTGAAGCGTTCTGCCCAGCCGTAACCCATTGTGGTGGGCCATTGTCCGTTTCTATCGGCGCCTGTGATGTCAGTGGTGGTTGTACGGGCTGTGGGATGATGGTTGGCTCTCGTGGGCTAGGAGCATATGATGGTGTAGCCGTGGCAGCTTGGTCATCCGCTGTAGATGGTAGGCCTTCAAAAGAAATAGTCAGGGGTGGTCCTACCTGGTGGGGTTGGATCGCTTCTAGGTTGAGGTATTGCCAGGCGGGCAGAGTTGACTGGACTGTTCAGGATCACGGGGTGGAGATGGCGTCGGGTTCAATCTCTTGGAGTGCCTTCTCTTCTTCTGTGATTTCTTGGCCGGGGTTGTTGGTGGCTGCAGCTCTGCGGTGGTTGCATTCCGCGAAGTGGGGCCTGCAGTCTGGCTACAAGGTGATGGTGCAGATGTCCCACTGGAAACAGGGGTACACTGCAAAGGATGCTCGTCTTCCGGGATAGTGCGCAGTGACCTGGTGGTCCTCCTTGTGTGCAAAGTAGTTGGTCTGGTAGGCGGGGATGGTGTCGTCGATCGTCATGATGCATTGCTGCTGTCTGTGGTGGAAGACAAAGTTCGTGGCTTCCTTCGAACATAAGGTCTTCTTGGCCTTGTGGGGATGCAAATTTTCTTTCGGTCTGCCGGGAGCGGGGGGAGGCGAGAAGGCCTCAACCCTGGCACGGCAGTCTTCAGCACAAACCTGGTGAGCTTTGATGGTTTTTAATTTGTCGTGTGTGTACCTACAGGCACAACATTCGAATTGGAGAACAGTCCCATGGACGTGTTTTAAGTGCTTCACCAGTCCCGCGTGGTCCGCATAGTTGCGGGGGATCGGGAGGCATAACTCGCATTCATGTGGTGGGTAGAGTGGTACTAGTACCGTTAGCTCCGACATGGCTAGCTTAAATCAATGTGTAGTCTGAAATAGAGCAGAGAGTGAAAGGGTGAAGCGCCCCCTGGGGTGCAGTGCAGCCAACCAAGGAGGGGCGTGGTTAGAGTATAGACTAGTACAGGAGTGTGTGCCCGTACTAGGGTATAGAGGATAGGGCGCTACAAGGCTTGGTAAGCCCGTAGCGCAAGGGGATAGAAAGGTTGCCGGTCAGGCAGCGAATACAATGTGCGTTTAAACAGTGCAGGCCGCCCTTCCAGCGGAAGTAAGAAGAAGAATAGGACAGTAAAATAAGATAAGAACAACTTACCAAGGTGTCGGGGAGCAGCTGGCTCGAAATCCGGTGGTCCTGATAATGGCAAAGGAATCAGCCTATTGAAGAACAATCAAGCTGATAAGAACAGATACTAAACATTTATTAAAGTTTGGATATCACAAACCTGCTTATTTAGCGTGAGATAAACATCTATTGTTTACATTAAAAGATCCCGACAATTAATTATTTTACATAGCACTTAGCGACATCTGTTTTGTATGTTAATTTATATAGCACTTAGCGACATATTGGTTGTTAGTATAACAATAGTTCGGTACCCGACAATACATTTCTTTGTGATTGTACAAAGCACAACGCAACATATAAACTGTGGACCAATAAAACAATATATTATTGACATCCGACAAAGTTTTCGTTACCATTCGTCATTGAATAGTATTTTATTATTGTCTTGTTTCCAAATTATGTCTTTAGTCCCTTTGTATAAGTTATTAAACTCATGTGGAAGAAGTTTTTCACTGTCTATTATTATTTTTAATTTTGCTTCTTCTTTTATTTTATTTACTATAAGTGTTGCGTTCCATCTCTTTCTTTCGTAGGTTAGAACGCATCTTTGTTTCCAAAGTGTTCTCTTGACCAAACCTATTATCCAATTTAGCATATATGGATGTTGATGTCTTATTGTAAAGTTTAGATGATATTTGATGTTATCCCAGTTTATTCTTATATTCCAGATTTTATTTAACCAAGTCCATACCTGTTTTGCTATAATACATTCATAGAACAGATGTTCTATCGTTTCTTCTTGTCCACATCTCTGACAATTATCGTCGTGGCTATTAATATATATTCTTAAGTATGATTTCGTCATAACTATGTTTTGTAATATTCTGCAACTCGTTTCTCTCCACTCTGCTGGGAGTTGTTCTACATTCTGCCATATTATATTACAGTTGAGAAAACTATTTTGCATTGCTGTGCTTAAGTGTTGTTTGTGAATATTTTTGTATATGTCACAAGGGCGAGTCTTTCTATCTAAATTGCATATCTGATCATTGTTGTTTAATATTTCTGCAAAAAGTTTTCTCCATTCTTTATACTTTTTTGTATTGTCAATTAAAAATGGTTTAACTACTTGTGTTTGTGTTAATTTTCTTGTGACGGGGCCTAAGATGTATTGCAGAATGTTGCTTAGTGGATGTTCTTGTTTCTTTATTGAGTTTATCATGTTGGCTATTTGTAGAGAGGTCTCTAAGTTTTTTAATTCCCAGATCCTCCAACCACCTTCTGTTGTCTTGTTTCGCATGATTTTCCTGCTTAGGGATTCAAAAGTGTTTTGCCAGATAAATTGGTATATTCTTTTTTCAATGGCTTTGATGTCTTCGTTTGAGAGTCTAGTGATGTACATTGTGAACATAATTTTTGCTATTAATATTTTATTTGTAATTATTGTTTGTTCTGGTAGATAGAACTAGTTGGTACTCCATTCTTTAATTCCTTCTTCTATCTTATGTATCATCATTTCAAGGTTTTTTTGTCTACTATTTTTCCCATACCATACCCCAAAAATTTTTATATCTTCTACGGTTTCAATGTCCATTGTATCACAGCTAATATGGGTATTAATGTTGAATAGTTTACTTTTTTTCTCGTTTATTTTCATGCCAGTTAGTGTACTAAAGATTTTTGTGTGTCTAATTATTCTATTTAAGGATGGCTTGTCTAGTATAAAAAAGTTTACATCGTCAGCATGTGCAAAATATTTTATCGTTTTACGCATGCCTGGGATATGTATGGGCGTAATTAAATCATCATATGTGACCATTTTTAACATGACCTCGATATACAAAGTGAACAATATCAATGAGCAAGGGCATCCTTGACGGACCCCCGCTTTACAATCAATATTATTTGATTCATTATTGTCTGTTATAATTTTGGTAAAAGGTTTTTGATAAAGTACTTTAATTTTGTTTATTTCTTCCTCGTTTAGCTCAAAACAATGTAAAATTTTCCACAATACCTCTCTATTAATCGTGTCGAACGCTTTTTCAACATCTACTGAAAGCACTGCTAAAGGTATGCCACATTTTGTATAGAGGTCTTGCAAAAGGTTAACAAACATGGTATTGTTTTGAATAGACCTATCTTTGATTTCTGCACTTTGTGTTATCCCTATATAATCTCTAAAAAGTTTTTCGAGTCTTTTACATATTATATTACTATATATTTTATAATCTAGATTCAGTAATGTGATTGGCCTAAAGTTGCTAACATTTTTTCCCAAATTGTCTTTTTTGTTTATTAGGACCATTTTGCCCTGAGTGAAATTTTCCTCAGTTATGTTATTCTTAAATAAATTACAAAATAATTCTTCAAAATCATTATTAAAAAATCTATATAATTCCGCAGGGATTTTATCAATCCCGGATGCTTTCCTTATATGTAATTCGTTAATGGCTTCACTTACTTCATCCTTGGTGATATCTTTGTTAATGATGTTTTCGTTTTTATCTTTTATAGGTGTTATGTGTTTGCTGACTTCGTTCCAATAATCCCAATTAGTTGTGGGCCTACTATAAAGGTGAGTGTAAAATTTTTCAAATTCATTCATTATTTTGTTTTTATTTGTAATTATGTTGTTGTCGACAACTAAACTATTAATTTCTAGCATTTCTTTGTTTGCCCTTTTTTTCAAAATCTGATCTTTCAGCCTGTCTGCTAATACCTAATTTGTTCATCCTATATCTGACATAGTTGTCTTTTACTCTATTTTCAATTTCAATACTAATTTCTTCCTGTATGTTTTTGATATCGTTAATTTGATTTTCTATTATTTTTTGACTGAGAGATCTTTGCAGGTATTTTATTTTATCAAATCTTATTCTTTTCAGTTTTTTCCAAGTTTGCTCTGTTATGCTTTCTATTTCTTGTTTCATTTTATGCCACTTTTCCCAATTTATTTTTTTTTATTATTTTCTATCAAATTTTTTATTCTATTTTGAAAATCAATATCGTCTAAAATTTCTTTAGTAAGTTTAATATTATTCCTTTGCTTACTATTATGATCAATGTCTATATTTATTTCTACCATATTGTGATCTGATATTTTTTTGTCATTTAAAGTTAAGCTATATGTTGTTATATCCTTTACTTTACCTATTATTGCATTTATATATATGTGATCTAATCGCTCTTTTACGCCTCTACTTTCCCATGTATATCCTGGAGCGTTGGGATATTTGTACCTATAAATGTCAGTTAGATTATAATTCTCTATTAATTTATTTAATATTTTCCTAGTGCTGTCTGGCATGAGAGGACCGTTTTTGTCAATTCCACTTAACATGCAGTTAAAGTCTCTGGCTACTATAATATCACGTCCTCCACTAAAGTAATTAGGTAACTCATGAAAGAAATCTCTTTTTGGAGAGATAGAAGGAGGGGCGTATAAATTTATTATTTTCATTAATCTATTTTTTACTTGAAAATCTACAACTAGTATCCTGCCTTCTGAGTCAGTTCTGAAATCACTGACTTTTATCTTTTTATGAACTAAAGTTAAAATTCCCGTGCTTCTTCGAATGGCAAAGGAAGCATAGGTGTTATAATCTACATATATTTTCCTTAGCATTCTTAAGATCATTAAAATTATAAATATTTGTATCTTGTAGTAACAAAATATCTACATTATGAGTTAATATTAAATTTAGCATATAAATTTGCTTATCTTTACTTCTAAAACCAGAGATATTTATAGTTCTAATATTTAGTTCATTTCTACTACCCATTATTGGTTTTGTTTTCTGTTTCTTTTGCTAATCTGTACAAATCAGTGGCTGAAAAAGTTTTTCTCATACCTGTTTGTTCTGCCATTTTTCCTACCAGTTTATTTAGTTCAGCTATTTTTTGTCCTTCTGTTAAGTCTGTTCTCTTTTCTATGTTGTATATTTGTATGTGTCTTTTCACATTTCTTTCTTTAATTATTATTTCTCTACTAACTTTTCTTTTTTCCTTTCTTTCAGGGGTTATTTCTTCGCATCTACTTATTTCTATTACAGGTTGTTTAATTATTTCTTTGGTGGGTTTCCGCCCTTTTTCTCTCTGATCATGTTCTACGCTTGTTATTTGACTATTTTCTAAGCTTTCTATTTGACTATTTTCTAGGCTTTCTATTTGACTACTTTTTACGCTTTCTATTTGACTATTTTTTATATTTTCAGTTATATTGTTTTCTTGTTTTGTGTTTGTATTACTTTGATCTATATCTATTTCCTCAGTTTCTAATTCCTCTATCTCTACTACCTTATTTTTTGTTTGTTTCTCCTTTTTCCATCTATCTAAACTTCTTTCTCTTCTTCTGTCTAGACTTTGTTTACGCGGACCTTTTTTACATATATCTGCGAATGTTTGTTTGGGACATTGTTGTTCTTTGTTGTGGACTTTTCCACAATTGTAACAAGCGGGGCAATCTTTAACTAAATGCTGAATACTTTTACATCTGTAGCACTTTTTTACCGGACAATCTTTTATTTCATGATCTGGATCACCGCAACGCAAGCATTTTTTTCTAACACCTACATATAGAATTTGTATTCTTTTTCTGAATACTTCTAAATAGCTAGGTATCTTTTTTCTAGTGACTATTGGAATACGATAGCTACCTGTTTTCACTTTGGTTCCCGGATAAAAAAGGGGATATACATTAATAACTTTACCGTATTTACCTAATATCTCTTTAGTAAATTTTCATCTATCTCATGAGGAACTAGCCTTATGGTGATTGAAATTAATTCCGTCTCTAATCCCCCTCGATGTGGGTTCCTGTCCGTGGTGAGGGGACCTCCCAGAGATGGTTTAGTAAGTTCTTTACCATCCCTGGGATCTGAACGCCCACCCACNCTGAGCCGGGTCCACATCGATGTAATATCTTTCGACGGATTGCCGAGGTCTCCCTCCATGGACCCGTTCAGGTATTGGCAGATGTCGCTGGTGCTGGGCTGGCGCTATATGCGGGATGAGACCACGTCGTGCAGGGCACCTAGAGCTACTTTGATGATGTCCTCGTCACGGGAGCTGAAGAGGTGCACAGCATGGGATATCTGGGCGATGTCAGCCAGATGACTAGAAGGGGTGACATTTGCACCTCCTTGTTTGTATGAGAGGAACACTATTTCATTGCTGGCTCGTTGGGGTACACTAAGCCACCTTTTAACGTGGCGTGTGATGGTTCTGTCGATGCGGTCGAGCGTTTTCTTGGGGGCAGTACCCGTGGTGAGGCAGAAGGTGAGTCTTGGCATGATAAAGGTGTTCAAGGCGTCTACCTTCTGCCACGGCGCCAGATGAGATGAGTCGATTTTAGTTATGTCGTTGATTACGCTATCGGTGGTTGCCGCTTCGGTATCACATTTTGAGAATCTTGTAGGAACGCCCAGGTGTCTGTAGGCATCATCGTTTCCCAACTTTGGTAAGTCTTTCTGGTAAAGAGAAAAGGTGTTATTTCCAGAGGTATGAGACTTACCTAGTACCGAAAGCGTTCCACATTTGGAATTGTTGAATTTAATTCCGGCCCATTTTGCCCATTCTTCGATCGAGTCCAGTTGCTCTTGTAGTCCGCTGCTACTGCTGCTCACAAGGGCGACATCGTCGGCGTAAGCGAGAGCATCCACGGTGATATTATGGAAGTTGTAGCCTTTGCCCAGGGACCGGAGGCGGCGTAGAGCTGGTTCGACAGTTAGAATGAAGAGGAGGGGGCTGATGGGGCACCCCTGATGGACGCCGGATAGCATTGCAACCGGTTCTGTGTACCCGGTGCAAGTCCGGATCCTAGTAGTAGAGCCAGTGTAGAGTTGTTGAATGGTGGTAATGGCGTCGGGGTGCAACCCATGCCACTTTAGGGATTCCCAGATAACGCCATGTGGAATGCTACCAAAAGCATTGGCGATGTCAAGCCAAGCAATGAAGCATTCCCTTCGGGTGCGTCGTGCGTCTTGAATAATGGATTTAAGGACAAAATTATGTTCGACGCATCCCTGATAGTGCAGGAAGCCCTTCTGCGCTGTTGAAAGTCTGTTGTTGGCCTCACACCACTTGAGGAGCCTATCCGCCAGACAGGCTGTATATAATTTCCCCAGGGTGTTAGAGAGGCATATGGGCCTCCAGTTACGTAGGTCGGTGAGGTCGCCCTTCTTATGGATGAGGACAGTAGTAGACTCTCGCCAATCGTGCGGGACATGCCCTATCCGTTGGACCGCATTGAAGATGGCAGACAGGATGATGCCGCTGGGGTCAACTCTCCTCCAGTGTAGATAGCGGATCTTGTCTGGGCCGGGGGCGGTGTTGTGGCCCTTGGCTATGCGGTTGGCGACTTCCTCAGGTGTAAATCCGACGTTGATAGGGTCCCTGGTGGCGGGGGCAGGATCAGGTGCAGCAGGAACAGGCGTGGAGCAGACATGTGGCTGTGCTTCATTGATGTTCCTAAAGTGGTTGTGGATACTTATTGCGTCAATTTGGCAGAAACGAGAGTCTCCACCAACGATACGGTCAAACGCCCGCTTTCTGTTGGTTCGATAAAGTCTCTGGATTATGCTAGCCTCGAGCTGACTTGGAGGGTTGTGACTATGTGCGTTGTTCCGGCCCCGTCTCGGGCCTTGTATGTCACAGATATCGTACGTAAGTCGTATGAACTCCATTAGGATGTGCTCGAACATGTCTTCGTCGACGGCGCTATTGAAGCGTTCTGCCCATGCAAGAACCCATTGTGGTGGGCCGTTGTCTAGATCGGAGGGTGGCTGCGATGGAGGTGGCGGTTGCTGCGGGACGAGGGGTGGCACACGTGGACTGGGGACACATGGTGGCACTGTTGCGGCAGCATGGTCTTCTGCGGTTGGTGGTAGGCCTTCAAAAGAGATAGAGTCAGGGGAGGTCCTACCTGGTGGTGTCGTGGGTTCGCTTCTGGGCCTGGGAGTTGCCGGATGGTCGGAGTTGGCTGGACTAGGATGGTTGAGGTCGCCGGGCGAGGGTGTCGTCGGGTTTAGTCGCTTGGAGCGCCTACGTCTCCTGGGTGACTTCTCAGTCGTGGTGGCCAGTGGCAGCGGCTCCTCGGTGGTAATGCACTGTGTGGTAGTGCCGGTGGTCTGGTTGCAAGGCGATGGTACAGCTGACTCACTGGGGGTAGCGGTATTCTGCGTCAGTTGTTCACCTTCAGGGATGGTGCGCAGTGATCTCGTGGTCCTCCTAATGCGGGATGTAGTCGGCCTGGTGGACGGGGATGGAGTCGTGGACTGCCATGAAGAGTCGCTGCTGTCGGTCGGAGAAGCCGGGGTCCGGGGCTTCCTACGAACGTAGGGCTTCCTAGGCCTTGTCGGGATACAGACCTTTTTACGATCCGCCGGAAGTGGGGACGGAGGAGAGCATGCCTCTATCCTAGTGCGGCAGTCATCAGCCTTTAGTTGGTGGGCCTTGATCACCTTAAGCTTATCGTGACAATAGCCACAGGCCCGGCACTCGAACCTAACGGTGGTGCCATGGACGTGCTTAAGGTGTTTCACAAGGCCGGCATGATCCGCATAGTCGCGGGGTATCGGCAGGCATAACTGACACCCGTGTGGTGGGTGTAGTGGGACAAGAACGGTCAGTTCTGTCATACTGGCAATGATCAAATGTGTGAATCGACCGAGAGAAGGATAGCAAGTGAAGTGCCCCCTGGGGTGCAGAGCAGCCAACCAAGAAGGGGCAGGAAGGGGAAGAGAAGAGGTGTCCTAGGTGAAGCACCACGGGTCCCACGAGTGAGAGCCACGGGGTGTCCAAGTGGAGCACCGGGAAAGCAACCAACCTAAGCTGGTAGCGATAGACGAAAGTGTTGCCAGTCAAGCAGCGAATACACGGTGCGTTTAAACCGTGCAGGCCGCTCTTCTGGCGGAAGGGAGAAGAGTATTAGGAAAGGAAACCAAAAATAAAAGTATACTTACCCAGAGGACTGGGGAGCAATGTGTGTCTCGAAATCCAGGTCTGGAGCTTGTTTTACTGAGGAACCATCAAGCTGATAAGAACAGATACTAAAACATTTATTAAAGTTTGAAAGTCACATATCGCTGTTTAGCGTACTGAGATTCACAATTATTTTATACAAATCTTGTGCCCGACAATTAAATTTAACTGTTTACATTGCACTTAGCGACATCTGTTTGTAATTGATTAGTTGACATAGCACATAGCGACATATATATTTGTTAGTATGAACATAGCTTTTAAACCCGACATTATATTTTTACATTAACAGACTTGTTGTTTAACACCCGACAATATTTAACTTTTTACTATGCACTCATCAACTCATGTTTGAATTGTTAATTTACATAGCACATTGTGACATATAAACATAAGTTTTAAACCCGACAATATATCATAACACTATATTTTTACGTTAACAAACTTGTTGTTTAACATTCGACAATATTTTACTTTTTATATTGCACTTAGTAACGTCTGTTTGTTAGTTCACATAGCACAACGCGACATATATATTTGTTAGTATGAACATAAGTTTTAGCCCGACAATATATCATAACCCTATATTTTTACATTATCAAACTTGTTGTTTGACACCCGACAATGTTTGTTGAATTGTGTTCACCATTCGTCGTTAAATAAAATTTTGTCATTGTCCTCTTTCCATATTATATTTTTTGTCCCTTTGTATAGATTGTTGAAGTCATGTGGAAGTAATTTTTCTATGTCAATTTTTATTTTCAGTTTAGCTTCTTCTCTTATTTTAGTCACTATTAATGTTGCATTCCATCTTTTTCTTTCATATGTTAGGACACATCTCTGTTTCCATAAAGTTCTTTTAACAAGTCCTATTGTCCAATTCAGCATATATCTGTTTTGGTTTCTTATTGTGAAGTTCATGTGATATTTTATATTGTCCCAATTGATTTTTATCTTCCAAATTTTATTTATCCATGCCCATACTTGTTTGGCAATGTTGCATTCATAAAAGAGATGTTCTATTGTTTCACTTTGACCACATCTTGAACACTTGTCATCACGACTGTTTATGTATATTCTTAGGTATGATTTAGTCATCACTATGTTTTGTAGCATTCTCCATGTTGTTTCCTTCCATTCAGCTGGAAGTTGATCTATGTTTTGCCATATTGTGTTCCAGTTTAAGTAGCTGTTTTGCATTGCTATGCTCATATGTTGCTTATGGATTTTCTTATAAATATCACTGGGGCGGGTTTTCCTATCTATGTTACATATTTGGTCATTGTTGTTTGTAATTTCAGCAATAACTTTTCTCCACTCTTTATATTTCTTATTGTTGTCAATAATAAAGGGCTTGTTAATCTGTAATTGTGTTATCTTCCTTGTGACGGGGCCGAGAATATACTGCGTAATGTCACTCAAAGGGTGGTCTTGTTTTTTCATGGAGTTAATCATATTAGCAATTTGTAGTGAGGTTTCTAGGTTTTTCAGATCCCAGTATTTCCAACCTCCTTCTGTTGTATTATTTCTCATAATTTTTCTACTTAAAGGTTCAAATGTATTTTGCCAAATAAATTGGTATATCTTTTTTTCTATAGCTTTAATATCTTCGTTTGATAGTCTAGTCACATATAGTGTGTACATAATTTTAGCTATTAATATTCTGTTTGCTATTATTGTACGCTCTGGTAAATAGAACCAATTAGTGCTCCAGTCTTTAATCCCCTCGTCAATCTTTTGTATCATATTTTCCAGATTTTTTTGTCTATTGTTTTTGCCGAACCAAACACCAAAAATTTTTATGTCATCAACTATCTCTATATCCATTATGTCACAAGTTAACTGGCTGTTGATACAGAAAAGTTTACTTTTTTTCTCATTAATTTTCATACCGGTAAGTGCTCTGAAGTTCTCTATGTGTCTAATTGTTCTATTAAGAGATGGTTTGTCTAAAATAAAGAAGTTGACATCGTCTGCGTGCGCTATGTATTTAATGTTTTTGTTCATGCCTGGGATGTGTACCGGAGTAACAATGTTATCATTACTGACCATTTTCAATAAAACTTCTAAATATATAGTAAATAATATCATGGAACTGGGGCACCCCTGGCGTACCCCAGCTTTACAATCAATGTCATTGGATTCATTATTATTAATTAGGATTTTAGTGAAGGGATCTTGATAGAGTGTTTTTATTGCGTTTATTTCTTTCTCATTTAGACCAAAACTGTATAAGATTTTCCATAGTACTTCTCTGTTTATTGAGTCAAACGCTTTTTCTACGTCTATGGAAAGGATTGCTAGGGGTATGCCACGTTTTGTGTATAATTCTTGTAAAAGGTTTATAAACATGATATTGTTTTGAATCGATCTGTCTTTAATTCCAGCGCTTTGTGTAGCCCCTATATGGTTTCTAAAAAGGTTTTCAAGTCTTTTACATAATATGTTGCTATAAATTTTGTAATCTAAATTTAGAAGGGTGATTGGTCTAAAGTCCCCTACTTTTTTACCTATGTTGTCTTTTTTGTTTATTAATACCATCTTCCCTTGGTTAAAAGTTTTCTCCCTTGTCTCATTTTTAAATAAGTTGAAGAATAATTCTTCAAAATCATTATTGAAAAACTTATATATTTCCGCTGGGATCCTATCAGTTCCAGCTGCTTTTCTTATATGTAAATCATTAATAGCTTCACTAATCTCATCTTTGGTGATTTCTTTGTTAATGATATTATCATTGTAATCTTTTATAGGTTTAATGTATTTGCTTACTTCATCCCAGTAACTCCAGTTAGTTGTGGGTCTGCTATAAAGGTGAGTGTAAAATTTTTCAAATTCATTTTTTATATTGTTTTCATTAGTTGTTATTTTGTTATCAATAATCAAGCTATTAATTTCAAGCGTTTCTCTATGTTTGTTCTTTTTTTCGAAAACTATCTTTTCCGCCTGTCTGCTAATTCCAATTTTATTCATCCTATACCTTACGTAGTTGTCTTTTACTCTATTGTCTAGTTCTATACTGATCTCTTCTTCAATGCTTTTAATATCCTCAATTTTATTTTCAATTATTTTCATACTAAGAATCCTTTGTAGGTATTTTATTTTATCAAATCTTTTTCTTTTTATTTTTCTCCAAGTATGTTCAGTGATATTCTCTATTTCTTTTTTTATATTGTTCCAATTTTTCCAATTTATATCTTTTTTATTATTCTCTAATAGATTTTTAATTTTGTTTTGAAATTCAATATCATCAAGAATTTCTTTTGTTAATTTGATTTTGTTCCTTTGTTTGTTGTTATTATCAATATCTAATTTTATTTCTATCATTTGTGGTCTGATAGGTTTCTATCGTCAACAGTTAATCTATATAAATTTATATCATTTATGTTACCTATTATACCATTTATATATATGCGGTCTAACCTTTCTTTTATGCCTCTACTTTCCCATGTGTATCCTGGAGAATTTGGATATTTATGACGATAACTATCTATAAGGTGGTAGTCTTCTATTATTTTTGTTAAAATTTTCCTAGTACCATCTGGCATAAGAGGTCCATTCTTGTCATTTCCACTTAACATGCAATTAAAATCACCAGCTATTATTATATCTCTCCCTCCGCTGATATATTTGGGCAGTTCATGAAAGAAATCTCTTCTCAAGGACACACATGGAGGGGCATATAGATTAACTATTTTCATTAATCTGTTTTTTATCTGAAAGTCTACAACAATAATCCTACCTTCTGAATCAGTTCTAAAATCACTAACTTTTAACCTTTTATGAATTAAAGTTAGGACCCCAGTGCTTCTTCTCGTGGCAAATGATGCATATATATTATATTCTACAAAAATTTTTCTTAACATTCTGAGGTCATTGAAATCATAAATATTTGTGTCTTGCAATAGCAAGATGTCAATATCATGAGTTAATACTAAATTTAACATATATATTTGTTTTTCTTTACTCCTAAAACCAGAAATATTTATGGTTCTTATATTTATATTATTTTTACTACCCATTATTGGTTTTGCTATCTGTTTCTTTCGCTAGCCTATACAGGTCAGTGGCTGATAAAGTTTTTCTCATTCCTGATTGTTCTGCCATTTTTCCTACTAGTTTATTTAATTCAGCTATTTTCTGTGCTTCTGTTAAATCTGTTCTCTTTTCTAAGTTGTATATTTGTATATGTCTTTTCACATTCCTTTCTTTGATTGTTCTTTTTCTACTAACTTTTCTTTTTCCCTTTCTTTCTGGTGTTATTTCCTCGCATCTACTTATTTCTATTATAGGTTGTTTGATTATTTCTTTGGTGGGTTTCTGCCCTCTTTCTATGCTTGTTGTTTGGCTATTTTCTACGCTTTCTATTTGACTGTTTTCTAAGTTTTCTATTTGACTGTTTTCTATACTTTCTATTTGACTATTTTCTGAATTTTCATTTATGTTGTTTTCTTGTTTTGTGTTTGTATTACTTTGATCTATATCTATTTCCTCAGTTTCTAATTCCTCTATCTCTACTACCTTATTTTTTGTTTGTTTCTCCTTTTTCCATTTATCTAAACTTCTTTCTCTTCTTTCTAGGCTTTGTTTACGTGGACCTTTTTTACAGATATCCGCAAATGTCTGTTTAGGACATTGTTGTTCCTTATTATGGACTTTTCCACAATTATAACAGGCGGGGCAATTTTTAATTAAATGCTGAATACTTTTGCATCTATAACATTTTTTTTACCGGACAATCCTTGATTTCGTGATCAGGATCGCCGCAACGCAAACATTCCTTTCTAACTCCTACGTATAAAATTTGTATTCTTTTTCCAAATATTTCTAAATAGCTAGGTATCTTTTTTCTAGTAACTATGGGGACTCGATAACTACCTGTCTTTACTTTGGTTCCCGGATAGTATAAAGGGTATATATTTATGACTTTGCCGTATTTCCCTAATATCTCTTTTAATAATGTTTCATCTATCTCGTAGGGTACTAATCTTACCGTTATTGAGATTAATTCTGTCTCTAAACTCTCTATTGTATAATTAACTCCTCCTACCTGTATATCCCTTCCTATGAGATGCTCTTTATCTTCCACTGAGTCAAGTCCAATTTCTACTATTCCTTTCGGATGATAGCATACTTGTTTCACAGCTCCTTCTTTTTGCAGACGACTTTCACACACTTTAATGAGTTCTATGGTGTCCATTCTCTGTTGGGCTGTTATTCTCACTGATTTAATTGTTGTGTATTTTTTAATTTTGTCCTTTTCTTCTTCACTTATCGGAGTATCCAATATTGGGTCTTTTTCACACACACTGATTGAATCATCTTGATTCAACATTTCGTGGTCGTTGGGGATTTCACTTTCTCCCCATGAAGCACTACTTGTAGATGGTTTATCCATTTTGGTATCTTATTTTATCCAATTGGGCACACATACACAATACACTATATTCCTATAGGCACTGTAATTTAATGAGCACACAATAATCCAGTAAGTGCACAGTAATCCAATGGGCACACTGTATTCCAAAATGCACTGTATAATCCAATTAGCGCACTATAATCCAAAGGTAGCTGTAATCACACTTGTGATAATACAAGAGCATTAAAGGTCACAGCACAATGCAAAAAAAGATGCAGAACCAGCTAAGACCAAAAGGAAGCACTGGAAAAATGAAGGGGAATACAACAGTCCCATAGAAGGTGGTAGGGGAAGAAGAGAGAACCTGGTGTGAACACCACACCAGGGTAAGGGGATAGTGTGGGGGCAAACCCACCACAAAGGGGGAAAGAGTTGCTGTCCGGTCAGCGAGTACACGCTGTGTCTCAAGTGTGCAGGCCAACCTTTCAGCAAAAAGAGAAGGCTATAGGACAGTGGAAAAAACCAAAATCCAGATACTTACGAATACAGCCAGGTCAGGGAACAGATACTTTATTTTTCAAAGTTTGTAAGTACAGTTTATAATTTTCACATTTTCCTGATTCATTTACAAAATTCGTATTACAACTTTAGAAAGCATCAGTTCAATAACTGGGATTATTTACAATTCACAGACCCGACAAGTTAATTTACAAATGTAAGTATTGTTATTTAACATTTATTTTTAGACAATATTAAATTTCAAAAAAACATGTATACAACAATTTAAAACCGACAAAAAGTCAACTGGTAAATGTTATTGGATTATTTACAATTTCATTATAAACATCAAATACAATATAAAATTAAACTTCAAATAGTAACAAAAAATACAAAATATAACATTAAAATATCAAAGTATAAACAATAGAACATCAATAAATAAAACAGTAAATCTAAACGAATAAAAAACAGAAGATGCCAAACAGCAATAAATAATCCAAACATTATAAGTTAACTGTCACAAAATGTGATACAGTTGTTCACCATCTTCCAGATAGTATCTGTTCCATTATAGTTCTTTTTAAATTCACCTTTGTTCATGTTCTTTACATCACTTTTTATCTTAAATGCTGCTTCTTTTTTTATTTTCGTGACAATCAATGACACATTCTATCTTCTTTTTTCATACATATGACTACACCGCGCCTTTCAAATCATCCTTTTTATCAGTGCCACCATCCACATGAACATATATCGATTAGGATTCCGTAATCGAAAATCCAAAAAATATTTTATATTAATCCAGTTTATATTTAATTTCCAGATTTTATTAAACCAACTTCAAACTTGTTGCGCTAAAGCGCATTCGAGGAATAAATGAATCGTGGTCTGTCTTGCCCCGCACAATAAGCACTTTGCATCCCGACCGTGAAGGTAAGTAGCCAAATAATCTTTTGTTGTAACAATATCTAATAATATCTTCCAGGTGAGTTCGTGCCACTCAGGCGGGAGATCATTTATATTTTTCTAAACTTGGTCCCAATTTATCATTGAATTTCTCATATTATAATTTAAACATTGTTTATGTATCTTGTTATATATCACAGTTGGTCGGATTTTACTATTATTTTGTATCATATTCCCATGCTTATCAATAAAATTATTTATCATCTTACGCCAACTTCTGTACTTTTTTCTATTATTAATTATAAACGGGAATTGTTCTCCCGCCTGAGTGACTCTTCTTGACACAGGACCCGAAATATATTGTACAATGTAAAAAATAGGGTGGTCTTTTTTCATTAAGTCATTAATCATGTGAGCAGTTTGTAGTGAGCACTCTAAGCTTTTCACATTCCACGCTCTCCATCCTCCGTTCGTTTTATTATTACACATGGTTTTACGACTTAATGGTTTGAATGAATTCATCCATATATACTCAAAAATTAATTTATTAATCTGTTTTATTTCTTCCCCAGTTAAATTAGTATACTATAGTGTATAAATCACTGATGCAATAGCAATTTTATTAATCACCACGACGCACTCCGGTAGATATAACCAGTTAATTTTCCAGTTATTAATCACTTTTGTAATTTTATCTAATATTTCTTTAAGATTATTTTCCTTTTCATTTTTTCCTATCCAAACGCCGAGCACTTCCATATTTTCCACATGTTCCACTTCCATCATATCACAGTTTAAATTACCACATATATTCATAAATTTACATTTTTTCTCGTTCACGCACATACCAGTTCCATCACTAAACCTTCTCACTTTTACAATTATATTGTCTAAACTTTTCTTATTTATGGCAAAAAAATTCACATCATCTGCATGTGCGATGAACTTAGTAAGAATCTTATTTCCTGGTATATATATTTGTTCGATCATTTCATCGTTAATTACATTTTGCAATAACACATTAATGTAGATAGTAAACAGTATCATGGAGCAGGGGCAGCCCTGCCTAACCCCTGCTCCACAATATACATCACCTGACCTTTTGTTATTTATATATATAAAAGTGCTTGGAGCATTATACAATCTTTTAATTTGCCTTATCTCCTCCTCATTTAGTCCATATTTATCCAAAAATTCCCAGAGTGCGTCGCGGTTAACCGTATCAAACGCCTTTTTGACGTCTATTGACAGGATGGAGAGTGGGGATTTTCTCTCCTTATAGATCTCTTGTAACAATCTCATAAATACAATATTATCTTTGATAGACCTACCTTTTATCCCAGCTGTTTGAGTGCTCACTACCGTATCCCTAAACAACTCAAGTCTTTTCGCAAGTATATTACTTAAAATTTTATAATCAATATTCAAAAAAGTAATAGGTCTAAAACTTTTTTTGTGTCATCCTTTTTATTAAGTAAAATCATTTTTCCATACGTAAAATTACTACCAATAAAGCTAGAATTATATAATTTATAAAAAAATTCAGTAAACATTTCGCTAAAAAATTTATAAAATTCACTCGAAATAGAATCCTCACCGGGCGCTTTCCTTAAATGTAACGACTGAATCGAATCTCTAATTTCTTCTTTGGTAAATTCCTTATTGATAATATTATTTTCTTTATTTTTAACAGGTTTAATATCCTTTGTAATTAACTTAATAATCTCGAAGTTTGACTGAGGATTCCTAAAAAGATCTGCATAAAACCCTCTAAATTCTTCCAAAATTTCATCAGTATTAGTAAGTATTCTATTATTTTTATTCTTTAAATAATCTATTTCTACTTTTTCAGGATTCTTATTTCTTTTTTCAAATATTGTTTCATCCACTTCTTGCCTAATATTATACTTTTTTATTTTATACCTAATATAACTATTCTTACTTCTATCGCTAATCTCTTAACTTATGCTCATCTCAATTTTCTTAATTTCCTCACTATTATTACTAATAATTTGTCTTGTTAGCTCCCTCTGAAGCTGTTTTAACTTATTAAATTTATTTCTTTTAATCTTTAACCATGTATATTCTGTCTGTCTCCTTATTAATTCCTTCATAACTATCCAATTTTCCCAGTCAACTTCTTGACTAAACTCATGTACAATCTCTTTAATATTCTTCTGAAAATCCTTATCATCTAATATTTCTTTAGTTATCTTTATATTTTTACTTTTTCCTTTATTCTTATTTATATTTAAACTTACTTCTATCATTTTATGATCTGTAATCTTTTTTCCTTCATGTTTTACTTCATATATTAATATATTATTATTATCAATTAAATTTTCAGTTACATAGACTCGATCCAGCCTTTCTTGCACATTACTCCCGGACCATGTAAAGCCAGGATAACACGGATACTTAAAACGGTAAAAGTCAATAAAACTAAAATCATCTATAATCTTCTGTAAAACCTTTCTCGACCCATCTGAATGTAACTCAGTACTTTTATCAATTGGTGATAAAACATTATTAAAATCACCAGTTAAAACTAAGTAATTAATACCCACTAAAAACTGTCGTAGATTATAAAAAGTTTCTTTTCTTTTAGTTACTTGAGGAGGTGCATACATATTGACCACCCTAATTAAATTACCACTCACCTGGATATCCACAGTAAGTATTCTTCCCTCACGGTCGGTTTTAAAGTCACAAACTTTTACTTTCTTTTTAACTAATGTCAATACACTAGTGCTCCTTCGATTTGAAAACGAGGCATAAATATTATATCCAACATAGATTTTCCTTAGTGCACGTAAGTCTGTAAAGTCACGAATATTGGTATCCTGCAGCATTATGATATTTATCTTATTTGACATTATTAAATTTAACAACCAAATCTGCTTCTTTTGGTCCCTAAAACCGGTGATGTTGAGTACACGTATATTTAAATAACTAGCCATGTTTGGTGTCTTTAGATTTTTTTTCTTCCTTTGCTGTTCTTCCCTTCCTTCCATCTTTTGCCTCTTTGACTTGAGTTTAAAGTCTCCATCTTCCTGCACTTCTTGACTAATATCTCTCTCTATACTACTACCCCTCGACCTTATCTTTTTCTCAAATTTTAACGTTGCTTCTTTAACATTTGTTACTCTATTTAATTCATTTATCTCTTGGTCACTTTCCTCACTTTCTATTACTTCCATTTCTTTTTCTTTTTGTACTACCTCCCCCTGTTCTCTTTCTTTCTCTGTCACTTCCTGTTCTTTCCTTTTCCTCTCTAAACTTGCTTGCCTCCTCCTCCTCGGTACTTTTGCTTCGGGGCCCTCTTTTTACAATATCTGAAAATGTTTGTATAGGACATTCTTTATCTTTTGGATGCTCTGTCTTACAGTGATAGCATGCCTTACAGTCTCTTACTAAATGTGTGGAGTTTCCACATCTATGACATTTCTTAATTATGCATTCCGCTATTATATGTTCAGTACTTCCGCATCTTCTACATTCTGGAATTAGCCCCACATAAAATATCTGTACTCTACATTCCAATATTTCCATAAAATTTGGGATCCTCTTATTTGTAATTATCGCTATTCTATACGTACCAGATTTTATCAGGGGGTAGTATTAAACGTATGCGCTATCACGTTTAGAACTTTTCCATAATTACCAAAAACTCTTCGTAATAGAGCCTCATCTACCTCACGAGGAACATATTTTAACGTCAAGGTAAGTACCTCCTTTTCCCTACTTTGGATTTCATATTCTTTTCCATCATACTCAATTACTTTTCCCATTAGACTTTCTTTTGCTTTTACAGAACTTAGCCCTATCTCTATAATTCCATTTGGGCGAAAACACACCTGCTCTACTGCTCCTTCTTTTAGCTTTGCTGTTATTTCCTTCACTAAATCTGCCACTATCACTTTTTCCTTCATCACAATCCTGACCAATTTATCTTTTCAGCTGAAGTCTCCTCAGCATTCATCCCCTCTGTCTCTGGCAAGGTCGGATTCAACGCCGAACTTCCTCGGAGGGTGACTCCTAACACACTCTTCGGCTTTTGAACATCTCCAATTGTTTCTAAGTCAATAGGAACTTCTTGACTTGTCCCCGGACCAGGATCATAGTCAAACACCGGATCCATTCAATCAGAACTTCACCAGGCAAGAGGCCAACTGCCAGCACCAACTGGTTAAGTTAATTGCAAGACCAAAATCCAAAAATATTTATTTAATAGAAGCTGTAGAACACTTATAGTAATCAATAAAGGCACTTAATTCCATTTAAGCTTTCATAGAATCCAACACAAGTCTACAGAAAGATCAACTTTCCGTGACACGCCTCTCACGGGAGCTGTTTAAGTGTTTCTCACCAATTTGGCTTAAAAAAGATAAAATTCCTCACTTTAAAGTTATTTTAAGTCAATTCTATTTATTCTACAGTCACTCTATTTTATAGTCCTTTCAATATTTCTACTCACATTCTCACCAACTCTCTCTATTCTCAAGCAGTTGTACAGACACTCCAAGTCCACTTTCCATAAAAACTCTAAAAATAATTTTAAAATTTTCACAATATTCCAACGGAATAATAATCACCAACTCTCCAGGACACTAAATATCGATGAATTAATCCAAATAACGCACAAATAAGCTCAGAAGTGGATAACAAAGACTACTACAAAATTTCTGCCAACACGGCCAAGATAAGAACAGATACTGGTGGTTTCAAAGTTTGTGGGACAACTAATCTTAACTGCAGATGGATTTCCTTCATCAGCCAGATACTTTTTAGAGCGATCACACCATGTTATATACCCGCATGCCATTTATATGAGAAACACGATCACGTGCAAAAGGTAGGCACCACAAAAACCACAACCACCACAGGAGAGGTTATTTACAAATATACAAATCCGACAATAACGAATTAGTAAAGTTACAAAAATCAAAACCCGACAAAAATAATATAAATACACCCATAAATACAAATACAATACAATCCCTTTTAAATACTGGGGTAACATCAAAAACCTGTAAAAACACAGGTATAAATACAAAGGTAAATTTTTAAACAGCAAATTTACAATGACAAAAAATATAACATAAATATTTTTTACAGGTATACAAGTGTAAACAAAAACATCAAAGTAAATATAAAACGGTAAGTACAAATTAAAAATATAACAACAAAAATTTTAAATACACAAACAAAATTAGTTTAACACTTTAAAAATAAAACTATTGCCACTCATCATTAAATACAATTTTATCATTACAGATCTTAAAGATTGACTCAGTTCCTCTATAATAAACATTTAACTCACGTTCATTCATCTTTTCAAAATCAATACGTATCTTATAACATAACTCTTGTTTAATTTTAACAATTAATAATGATGCATTCCATGATCTTCGCTCAAATGTTAACAGACATCTACACTTCCATAGCATTCTCTTTACAAGTGCTACACAACAATTTAATAGATATACATTTTTATTTCTTGTAATAAGATTAACCTGGTACTTCACATTATTCCAATCAATTTTTACTTGCCAGACTTTGGAAACCCAGGACCATGCAGACTTAGCAATATTACATTCAAAAAAGATATGAATAATGGACTCAACACCACCACATCTAGCGCAACGTTTATCCTTCACTCTATGATACAGACGTAAGTACTCTTTACTCATTATTACATTTGACAGTATACGCCATGAGGTCTCAATCCACTCAGCTGGCAGACTAAAAATGTTTTTTCATATTCTGGCCCAATCTAAATTACTATTTACCATGTTAATATTTAAATGTTGTCTATGAATTACCGAGTAAATTCGACTTGGTCTTACTTTTCTACTAAAGTCAATCGTATTTTGATTTTCATTTATTATTTTTCTTAAGATTTCTCTCCATTTTCTATATTTCCATTTATTCGAAACTATAAAGGGAAAACACGTCTCCAGCTGAGTTATATGTTTAGAGATCGGTTCTAGAATATACCAGACTATATAGAACAATGGATGATTTTTCTCTCTTAGTATATTTATCATTACACTAATTTGTAACGAGAACTCAAAATCTTTCAAGTCCCACATTCCCCAACCTCCCTCACTAACATAATTTCTCATAATTTTCTGACTCAACGGTTCAAACGTATTATTCCAAATGTAAGTGTATATATATATTTTTCAATTTCTTTTATTTCCTGTTTATTTAAATTTGTAATATATAATTTATAAATAATCTTTGGCACAATTATTTTATTTACAACCTGTACTCTTTCCGACATATAAAGCCAGTTCTCTGCCCAACTATCAATCTCAGTTTTAATTTTTGTTTTTATTTCATCCAAATTATTTATTTTCTATTTTTGCCGTACCAAACACCAAGTACTTTTAAAGTATCAACCCTCTCTATTTCACTTTGCGTTTTACTGATTTCTTTCACTACATCTATTATTTTGCATTTACTTTTATTTATTTTCATCCCTGTATATTCACTAAAGTTTTGTAAATTTATAAAGACTCTATTTAAACTTAACTGGTTTAACTATCAAAAACATAATGTCATCTGCATGTGTAACATGATTAACTTTCTCCACCATACCAGGAATATAAATGGACTCTATTAAATTATCATTTTTAATATTTATCAATAATGTCTCAATGTAAATTGCAAATAAAATCATCGAACTCTGACAACCTTGACATACACCAATTTTACACTCAATATCATCTGAACTTTCACCATTAATAAATATACTTGTACTCGGCGCTTGATATAGTCTTTTTATAAACCAAATCTCGTCATTATTTAAGCCATATCTTTCCAAAATCTGCCAGAGAACTTTCCTATTAACTGTGTCAAAGGCACAGAGGCATCAATGGAGAGGAGGGAGAGTGTGGCCCCTCTTCCCCTATAATACTCTTGTATCAATCTTAGGAACGTAATATTATTTTGTATCGTTCTCTCCCTTACACCAGCACTTTGTATATTGCCAATAATATTTTTAAAAACCAACTAGAGTCTTTTTGCTACAACAATACTATATATCTTATAATCCAAATTTAAAAGAGTAATAGGTCTAAAATCCCCAACCCCTTTATCCGTGTTATCATTTTTCTGCAATAAAACCATTTTACCTTGACAAAAAGTGTCATTAAAAATAGTAAAATTGTATAATAAATCAATAAAATCCTCTTTAAAAAATTTAAAAAATTCCGAATTAATACTGTCCCTCCCAGGTGCCTTATTACTATGTAAACTTTGGATCGCATCATCTATCTCACTTTTTTTAATCTCTTGATTTATAATACTATTTATTTTTTCTTTTACAGGTTGTATTCCTTTAAGTACCTCTTCACTCAACGATTCATCAGATTGCAGATCTCTGAATAGGTATGTATAGTACAAATGAAATTTGTCAATTATTTCTTTATTATCTGTAACTTTATTTCCAAATTCATCTGTTAAACTTTCAATTTCTAAACTTTCTCTTAACTTACCTCTTTTCAAAAACTGCCCTCTCTGCCTCTCTTTTAATGTTACATCTATCTAATTTATATCTTATGTAATTTTCTTTATTTTTTCTATCTAACTCCTTTGTAATTTCTTTTTCTATTTTTTGCTATTTGCTCCCCTTTATTATTAATAATTGCATTTGATAACTCTCTTTGCAGTCTTTTTATTTTTATAAATTTCTCTTTCTTCTGCTTTTTCCATACCTTTTCTATCTCTTTATTTATTTTTACTTTTAACTCTACCCATCCTTTCCAATCTATGTTTTCTTTATTATTTTCAATTAAATTTTTTGTTTCATTCACAAATCCTTCATCTTCTAATATTTTTTTAGTTATTTTTATTTTTTTTTATTTCTCTCTACTAATTCAATACTAAAATCAACCATCTTATGATCTGTCAATCTCCTAATTTCTGTTTCCACTTCATAACACTTAATATCTATTATTCTATTAATACTTTCAGATACATAAACACGATTCAGTCTTTCTTTTACCCCACGCCCTTCCCACGTATACCCCAGATAACACGGATAATAAAATCTATATACATCATAAAGTTTAAAATCATCTAAAATCCGTCTTAAAATATTTCTCGAACTATCATACATAATAGGTCCGTTTTTATTGATAGTATCTAAAATACAATTAAAATTTCCTATTAAAATCAACTCCCTCCCTACCCTTAAAAAGTCCGTTAAAATCTTTAAAAAAATTTTCCGTTCAAAGACTCGGGTTGGCACATATATACTAATTAATCTAAAATACCAATCTCTAATATCCACATCCACAGCAACAATTTTGCCATCACAATCAGTTTTAAAATCCTGTATTTTTACTGTCTTTTTTACCATTAAAATAACTCCCGTAATTCGTCTTTATTGCAAAAGATGCATATATATTATAGTATGTAAAAATTCTCCTCAACTTTCTAACATCATCTAAGTCTCTTATATTTGTGTCCTGGATTCCCAACACATCAATATCATTTGTTAATACCAAATTCACCAAATAAATTTGTTTACATTGATCCCTTAATCCCAAAATGTTAATAAATCTAATATTAATTTTTTGTTTATCAGCCATGTTCTTGTTTTTGTTGTGACTGACTCATCTGTCTTCCTAATTTCAAATTTGCCTCAAACACTTGCTGCTTAGACTCCCTTTGTACTCTATTTATCAAATATACCCTTTGTTCTATACTTAATGATAAATCATTTTGTATATCAGTTATAGCCTTTTTTACCTGTTCATGTTCCCTACTAACACTTCTCTTTCTTCTTCTACTTTGCCTTGTCTCTACTTCTCTCTCACCCTCTATCCCTTTAATCATTTCTTTAACTTTACCATTTTCTCCTTCATTTCCATTTTTTTCCTCCCTATCAACTCTCTCAATTACAACTAATGCTTTCGATACTGTACATTCCTCTCTCTCTCTTTCCTGTTGTCTTTGTTTTTTAGTTTCTATTGTTTTTTCTTTTAATTTTTTTTTTTCCACCTATCTAAACTTTCTTCCCTTTTTCTTTCTAAACTGTGTTTTCTAGGTCCTATCTTACAAATATCAGCAAATGTAGGAACTGGACACTTTTCCCCCTTATGAAAATTTTTACAACTATAGCTTATGACACTTTTTACAACTATACTTTCAGATACATAAACACGCATACATACAATCTTTAACCAGATGCATTCTACTCCCACACCTAAAACACAGTTTTACCGGACATTCCCTCGCTTCATGTTCAATATCTCCGCATTTAAAACATTCTTTTCTACTTCCTACATAATACAACTGTACTCTTCTTCCCAACATTTCCATTGCAACAGGTATTTTCATTCTTGTAATTAGTCACCCGAAATGCACCCGTTCTCACATTGCTATTTTTATGAAGCCCAGTATACACATTTACAATTTTACTGTATTTTCCCAAAATTTCTTTAATTAATTCTTCATCTACTTCGTAGGGGGCATATCTAATCGTAATAGTAATTAAGTCCACCTCTAAACTTTCAATAAGATAATTTTTATCACCAACCTGGATTTCCTGTCCTACCAAACGTTCTTTATCCTTTACATCAGACAGTCCCACTTCAATGACACTTCTAGGCCAATAGAATACTTGTTTAACACTACCTTCTTTCTTCAGTTTCTTTTCACAAGCCTTTATTAGCTCCAATGTTTCTATTCTTTCTTGACAAATGATTCTTACTGACTTGATTGTAGAATATTTCTTTATCTTTTCAGCTTCTTCGTTTCCTGTTCCATCCTCCGTCGATAAACCTTGTGTCACCTCCATTGACTCGTCTGGATCAGTTGCTGCCGCATCGAGACGTCGACGGGAATGTTTGTTGGCCGACCCATCGTGGATGGAAAGGGATCTACCCTTACCACCTAGGGCCTCCACAGAAGCATCACAGCTCGTTGAAAGGGACAGCTCCCCCATCTAACTGCCTCAGCACTCAGCCAAAGTGTTAGAAAAGTCAGTAGTGAAGTCAGTAAAACCAAAAAACAAACTCACCAAAAAAGGCTGTAAACTGTTAAAACGTCCAAAAAGGGTAACAAAATCCAGGTATAAAACTTTTAAACTCCACAAAAAATTTCAAAGTCCAAACTCAGCAAAAGTCGGCAAAAACAGCAAAAATCTCAAAACTATGAAAAAAGTTTTGTTAACAAGAACGAGTCCTTGATCTGAGCCATAAGGCTGAGAAGCGATAAAAAAACACATCAAAGGTGCCGACGGGCCAAGTGTGGAGACATACAATTGTGTCCAGGTTACGTCATTCGGCAAACATCCAATAATACACATGAAAGAACGTCAGGAAACGATAAGTGACAATGCAAAAGGCTACAGGAATTGTCAGGTATTGCATGAGGANATAAGCCCCTGAAATAATAAATTCCTATTACAAATATACTGAATTATTTATATTGTTATATTGACCAAATAATAATAATAATTCATATTGTTAATTTAAATAAGAATTAAAATTGTTAATATGAATGTTTGAAATATGACACATGATAGGGGCGCCTCTAGTGTCCGTTATCAAACGGTTACGGGACAGACGGACACTTTGAATGAGTTGTATATATAGATGTTTAAAAGAGTAATAGGTCTTGTGAGAAATGCGCGAATACCGGAGACAAAGAAACACAACTTTTATGATATGAAATTCTTTAATTCGCGCACAGAATACCGGAAATGTGGTTCGGATGCCAGCTACAATCTCTACCCTTGAACATTTACTTAATTTCAGTAACAAAATTTTTACGGACAAGTTATATAACGCGACAATTTCATAGTTTAACGACTATTCTACTTATAGAATATACAATTATACCTTATAACTAAGCTTACGGCTAATTATTAGCTTCTAAAGATGAAAATTAGGTCTAAGATAAGATAGGAATTGAAATATAAAGATGAGAGAAAAAGAAAGTTGGATACCCAATGATTTCGGTGTGCTTCACGGGGAATTGTAGTAAGTGGGGAGTGAGCCTCTTGATTCACGGCGAAAGATAATTTCTTTCCTGTGGAAATTTTCTTGGTCTTCACTATACACTTTAAAATGCACGAAAACCCCCTTCTCAGTTTTCGTTAGCCTCCGTACTCTTTTCTCCTCGAAAAGTCCGTTTGGTCTCCACTCGGTTCATCAACCCAAGAGCCTTCTTCACATGTTATTTCCTGTCCTATACTACCTCCCAGAATGAACTCCTGGACCCCGTTATACCCTGAGGGTTACACACCTTCCCCTTTGTTACTCAGGGGTCACCTGCTGTTACACCGTTAAACAAAAGTAGGGAGAAACTTCCAGAAAGAAAGACAATAGAAATGAAGACAAAGCGAAATATATTTAATAAAAATATAAACTATAACTGTACAATTATGGCATGTAGCCACAGTCTAAAATCCCCTACACCCTTATCCGTGTTATCGTTTTTCTGCAATAAAACCATTTTTCCTTGACAAAAAGTGTCGTTAAAAACGTTAAAATTGTATAAATTATATAATAAATCAACTAAACCTTCCCTAAAAAACTTATAAAATTCTGAATTTATTCCATCTTTTCCAGGTGCTTTATTACTATGTAAATTCTGGATTGCGTCATGTATTTCACTTTTTTTTATCTCACTATTTATAATTTCATTTATCTTTTCTTTTTTAGGTTTAATTCCTTCCAATATCTCTTCTTGCAAATACTCCTTGGTCTGTGAGTCTCTAAATAAGTAAGTACGAATTAAATTTAGTACGAATTAAATTTATCTATAATATGTTTTGTATCGTTTAATATATTTCCTGCCTCATCCACTAATCTTTCTATTTCTAAACTCTCTCTTAATTTACCCTTCTTTTCGAAGACTGCTCTCTCTGCCTCTCTCTTAATATTACATCTATTCAGTTTATGTCTAATATAAATATCTTTATTTTTTCTATCTAGTTATTTTGTAATTTCTTTTTTTATTTTTTGTATTTCCTCTTCCCTATTATACATAATCGCCTCTGATAGTTCTCTTTGCAGTCTTTTAATTTTAACAAACTTATCTTTTTTCTGTCTTTTCCACACTTCCTCTATATCCTTTAAACACTTCCATTCTTTCCAATCTACAATCTCCTTCTTATTTTCTATCATTTCATCCTCTAAAATTTCCTTTGTAATTTTTATTCTTTTTTCCTTTTTCTTTTTCTCTCCCAACTCAATACTAATATCTACTATCTTGTGATCCGATAATTTTCTCATTTCCGTTTCCAATTCATAGCACTTAATATCAATAATTTCTGTAATACCGTCAGATACATAAATGCGATCCAGTCTTTCTTTAATCCCACGCCCTTCCCAAGTATACCCCGGATAACACGGATAATAAAATCTAAAAACATCATAAAGTTTAAAATCATTTAAAATTCATCGTAAAATATTTCTAGAACCATCATATATAATTGGACCATTTTTGTCCATACTATCTAAAATACAATTAAAATCACCCATTAAAATTAGTTCTCTCCCAACCCTTAAAAAATCTGTTAAAATCCTAAAAAATTCTTTACGTTCAAAGACTCGAGTTGGTGCATGTATATTTATTAACCTTAACAACCGATTTCTAACATTTACATCCACAGATATTATCCTTCCTTGACAGTCCGTTCTAAAGTCATTTGTCTTTACCGTTTTTTTTATCATTAAGATAACTCCCATACTTTGTCTAACTGCGAATGACGCATAGATATTGTAGTGTGTGAAAATCCTTCTCAATTTCCTAATATCATCTAAATCACGCACATTTGTGTCCTGGATTCCAACTACATCTATTTCATTTGTTAATACCAAGTTCAATAAATAAATTTGTTTACATTGCTCTCTTAATTCCGATATATTTATAAATCTTATATTAAGTTGTTTTTTATTAGCCATGTTCTTTTCTACCTTGTGTTTGACTCATTTGTTTCCCTACTCTTAAATTTGCCTCAAACATTTGATGCTTATATTCTGCCATTTTCTGATTAATCTTTACTGCACATTGTTCCATACTCATTGGACTCTTTTGTATATCCACTATTGCTCTTTTCGTTTCCCTTTCTTTACTAATACTTCTCTTTCTCCTTCTACTTAAATTTATCTCTAATTCTTTATCCTGTTCTATATCCTGTACCATTTCTTTTACCCTATGATTTGCCCCTTCCCTCCCTTACTATATTCCTTATCAAGTTTCTCTACAATAACCACTGCTTCCGGTACTATACATTCCTCTATTTCCTTTTCCTGTTGCTTTTCTATTTCATTACTTTTCTCTTTTTGTTGTTCTCTAATCCATCTGTGCAAGCTTTTTTCTCTTTTTCTTTCTAGGCTTTGTTTCCTAGGCCCTACCTTACAGACATCAGCAAAGGTTTGCACCGGACATTTCTCAGATTTATCATGACATTTTTTACAGTTATAACATGCATTGCATTCTTTTACTAAATGCAATTTACTTCCACACCTAAAGCATTGTTTTACCAAACACTCCCTTGCTTCATGTCCAATCTCACCACATCTAAAACACTCCTTTTTGCTACCTACATAGTATAATTGCACCCTTCTTCCTAATATTTCCATTTGTACCGGTATTCTTAATCTAGTTATCAGAGTTACTCTGAACGCACCCGTTCTTACATCTGTATTTTTATATAGACTAGTATAAACATTAATAATTCTACCATATTTTCCCATTATCTCTCTAATTAATTGCTCATCAATTTCGTAAGGGGCATATCTTATCGTTACAGTGAGCATATCTGCTTCTAAACTTTCAATATTATAATATTTGTCACCAACCTGGATTTCTTGTCCTACTAACTGTTCTTTTTCTTCCACCGTATTTACACCCACCTCAATAACACCTCTTGGCCTATAACAGACCTGTCTTACGCTAAATTCTTTCTTGAGCTTTTGTTCACATGCCTTTATTAGTTCTTCCATCTCAATTCTCTCCTGACAAATTATTCTCACCGACTTGATAGTAGAATATTTTCTGATTTTTTTTCTGCTTCTAAATTTCCAGATTCCTCTTCTGTCGATGGTACTGATGTCACATCCATTAACTCGTCCGAGCCGATTACTACCGCACTGGAACGTCGACGGAGACTACGATTAGTCGACCCATCGCGGATGGAAGGAGACCTTCCCCTACCACCTAGGGCCTCCACAGAAGCATTTTCCACGCTCGTCGATGGGGTGGGCTCCCCCATCCACCAGCTTCGGCTATCAGCCGAAAAATCAAAAGTAAATGAATAAAAGGTCGGTAAATCTTAAACAAATTCACCACATACACTGTATGACTTTATAATATCCAATAAAGGCAATAAAAGACTTTAATCCAACAGATTTATTAATTGAAACACGCCCCTCACGGGTGCTGTTTAAGTGACTACCACTATAACTTTCTAAAAATAAAGTTCTTTGCCTTATTTTTATTTAATTCTATTATCGTTCTATAATATAAGTCACTCTATTCTAGATTTTTTCCACAAATTACTCACATTTTCTTTATATTCGTAAAAATCCAGCAGCAAAGACAGACACTCCAAGTCCACTTTTTCACTATCACTCGAAAAATAATTCCAAAAAATTTGGAATAATCCGACGGATTATTGTTCGCTAAGTATTCCAGGCACCAAATATCAATAATTTCACCAAATCAATCACTAAATAAGCTCACAATCGATTAACAAGAAGCTGCTCGAAAATCTCACCACCACGGCCGAGATAAGAACAGATACTGTGGTTTTAAAGTTTATGGGACAGCTATACTAACATTAATGCCAAAATACAGTAATCCTCTTCATTTTCACAGGTGCATTTCCTTCAACTTAAGCGAAAAACAGCATGTTATATTCCCGCATGCCGCCAGAACACAACACCCACGATCACAGCACGAAAGCAGGAAAAAGAAAAAACACACCAGGCATCCCAACCACCACAGAAAAGGTAAGTTACAAATAAACCAACCCGACAATTTGAACAATAGTTAGTAAATACAAAGCTCACAAACCGACAATTTAAAACAATATTAGTAAGTACAATGCTCAAAACCCGACAACATATAACAGTTATTAATAAATCATAAAATAGTATACAAAGGAACCACAAACTGGGAGTAAAAATATAAGCCTGTTTAAACACAGGTAAACAGAACAAAACATTTTAAAATTTACATTAATTTCAAAAAACACCAAAAATGACAAAATTTATACATCTAAATTTTTCTTTTAGGTAAATACATCCATTTAAAATATAACATCAATCATATACAAACAAAGGTAAATATTATTTTACAAAAAGACATCAATGATTTCAATTACAATAATTCTTATTTAACAACCACTCTATAACTTAATTTAAAACTACTCATCATTAAACTTTATCTCATTATTTTGTATTCTCCATACAACTTCAGTACCTCTATAATATCGATTGAATTCCCTTTCCGACATTTTCTCATTATCACTCCTGATTTTAAAACATAATTCCTGTTTAATTTTAGTGATTAACAGTGTCGCATTCTAAGATCTTTTTTCAAAAGTCAGCAGACACCTGCATTTCCATAGCATTCTCTTCACTAAAGCAATGCAACAATTTAACAAGTATATATTCTGGTTTCTTACTATAATATTATTTCGATATCTTACATTCTCCCAGTTTATATTCACTTTTCACACCTTTGCTACCCAAGACCAAGCAGAAACCGCTATATTGTATTCATAGAAGATATGAATGATCGACTCTACCCTTTTACATCTCGCACACTTATCGTCTCTCACTCTCTGATAAACCCTCAGGTACTCTTTACACATAACATTGGACAGAATGCGCCACGAAATTTCCACCCACTCAGCAGGCATACTAAAAATATTTTGCCAAATCTTAGACCAATTCATATTACTATTAATCATATTTATATTTGTCTGTTGCCTATGTAAACACCTATAAATATTACTAGGTCGTATCTTTCGATTAAAATCCAAAACATTATTATAATCATTCACTAATTCTCTAAAAATCTCCCTCCATTTTCTAAATTTTCTTTTATTCGTAACAATAAACGGGAAACCAGTAGCCTGCTGAGTAATGTGGTTGGAAATTGGTCCTAAAATATACCTGACAATATAAAACAATGGATGATTTTGTTCTCTTAGAATATTAATAAAAACACTTAACTGCAGTGATCGTTCAAAGTCTTTTAAATCTAATATTCCCCATCCCCCTTCATCAATGTCATTACGTATGATCTTTCTGTTAACAGGCTCGAAACTATTATTCCAAAAAAATGTATACATATCTCTTTCCAGCTCTTTAATGTCATTTTTACTCAGATTAGTAATATACATTTTATAAATAACTCTGGGTATAACTATTCTGTTTATAATCAATGCTCTTTCTGGCATATAAAACCAATTATCAGACCAGATATTTATCTCATTTTTGATTTTATTTTTCATATCCTCTAAATTATAATTATCTGCACCAACCCCATACCATACTCCCAATACTTTCATCTTAAATCAATCTCTCTCAATCTCAGTTTGACTCTTTCCTATTTCCCCGATAACATCCATTATTTTACATTTCCTTTTATTAATTTTCATACCTGTATAATCACAAAATTGTTGTAAATGTATAAATATCTTATTTAAACTGAGACTATCAACCAAGAGAAAAGTTATATCATCAGCATGAGATATATAATTAATTTTATCTATCATACCTAGTATATATATAGATTCAATTTGCCTATCATTTTGTATATTTTGTAACAGAACTTCTATATAGATCGTAAATAGTATCATAGATGTAGGACATCCTTGTCGTACACCTATTTTACAATTAATCTCATCCGATATTTCACCATTTATATGAATCCATGTACTGGGAGCATGATATAATTTTTTATGGCATTGATTTCACCAGTGTTTAACCCATAGTTTTCTAAAATCCGCCATAACACCTTTCGATTCACAGTGTCGAAAGCCAGTTTAACATCTATTGATAATAAAGATAACGTAGCTTCTCTTTCCCTATAATATTCTTGGATCAAATTTAAAGACACTATATTGTTCTGAATCGTACGCTCCTTCACTCCAGCACTTTGTGTTTTACCAATAAAATATTTAAACGTCAACTCAAGTCTCTTTGCAATCATTAAACTATATACTTTATAATCAATATTTAAAAGCGTTATCGATCGAAAATCTATTACCCCTTTATCCGTGTCATCATTTTTCTTGATTAAAATCATTTTTCCATGACAAAAAGTGTCATTAAAATTACTAAAATTGTAAAGTCTGTATAAAATATCAATTAAAATCTCATTAAAAAATCTATAAAATTCCGAATTAATTTTGTCCCTCCCCGGGTGCTTTATTNTTGCACATTACTCCCGGACCATGTAAAGCCAGGATAACACGGATACTTAAAACGGTAAAAGTCAATAAAACTAAAATCATCTATAATCTTCTGTAAAACCTTTCTCGACCCATCTGAATGTAACTCAGTACTTTTATCAATTGGTGATAAAACATTATTAAAATCACCAGTTAAAACTAAGTAATTAATACCCACTAAAAACTGTCGTAGATTATAAAAAGTTTCTTTTCTTTTAGTTACTTGAGGAGGTGCATACATATTGACCACCCTAATTAAATTACCACTCACCTGGATATCCACAGTAAGTATTCTTCCCTCACGGTCGGTTTTAAAGTCACAAACTTTTACTTTCTTTTTAACTAATGTCAATACACTAGTGCTCCTTCGATTTGAAAACGAGGCATAAATATTATATCCAACATAGATTTTCCTTAGTGCACGTAAGTCTGTAAAGTCACGAATATTGGTATCCTGCAGCATTATGATATTTATCTTATTTGACATTATTAAATTTAACAACCAAATCTGCTTCTTTTGGTCCCTAAAACCGGTGATGTTGAGTACACGTATATTTAAATAACTAGCCATGTTTGGTGTCTTTAGATTTTTTTTCTTCCTTTGCTGTTCTTCCCTTCCTTCCATCTTTTGCCTCTTTGACTTGAGTTTAAAGTCTCCATCTTCCTGCACTTCTTGACTAATATCTCTCTCTATACTACTACCCCTCGACCTTATCTTTTTCTCAAATTTTAACGTTGCTTCTTTAACATTTGTTACTCTATTTAATTCATTTATCTCTTGGTCACTTTCCTCACTTTCTATTACTTCCATTTCTTTTTCTTTTTGTACTACCTCCCCCTGTTCTCTTTCTTTCTCTGTCACTTCCTGTTCTTTCCTTTTCCTCTCTAAACTTGCTTGCCTCCTCCTCCTCGGTACTTTTGCTTCGGGGCCCTCTTTTTACAATATCTGAAAATGTTTGTATAGGACATTCTTTATCTTTTGGATGCTCTGTCTTACAGTGATAGCATGCCTTACAGTCTCTTACTAAATGTGTGGAGTTTCCACATCTATGACATTTCTTAATTATGCATTCCGCTATTATATGTTCAGTACTTCCGCATCTTCTACATTCTGGAATTAGCCCCACATAAAATATCTGTACTCTACATCCCAAAATTTCCATAAAATTTGGGAACCTTTTATTTGTAATTATCGCTATTCTATACATACCAGATTTTATCGGAGGGGTAGTATTAAACGTATGCGCTATTACGTTTAGAACTTTTCCATAGTGACCAAAAATTCTTTGTAACAGAGCCTCATCTACCTCATAAGGAACGTAATTTAACGTCAAAGTCAATACCTCCTTTTCCCTACTTTGGATTTCGTATTCTTTTCCATCATATTCAATTACTTTTCCCATTAAACTCTCTTTTGCTTTTACAGAGCTTAGCTCTATCTCTATAATTCCATTTGGGCAAAAACACACTTGTTCTACTGCTCCTTCTTTTAGCTTTGACGTTATCTCTTTTACTAAATCTGCCACTATCACTTTTTCTTTCATCACAATTCTGACCGATTTAACTGACTCATATTTCTTTGTCTTTTCAGCTGAAGGCTCCTCATCATCCGTTCCCTCTGTCTCTGGCAAGGTCGGATTTGACACCGAACTTCCTCGGAGGGTGGCTCCCAACACACTCTTCAGCTTATGAACATCTCCAATTGTTTCTAAGTCTATAGGAACTCCTTTTCTTGTTCCTGGACCAGGATCATATTGAAACACCGGCTCCATTTAGTCAGAACTTCACCAGATAAGAAGTCAACGGCCAGCTCAAACTAACTTATTTTATTATTATAAAAAGAACCAAAATCCAAAAGTATTTATCTAAGAAATACTGTAGAACACTTATAGTAATCAATAAAGGCATTTACTTCCATATAGGTCTTCGTTAATTTCAACACAAGCCTACAGAAAGATCGACTTTCCGTGACATGCCCCTCACGGGAGCTGTTCAAGTCTCTCTCACCGATTTGACTCAATAAAGTAAAATTCCTCATTTTAAATTTATTCTAAATAAAGTCTAGTTGTTCTACAGTCACTCTAGTTTAGTATTCTTTCAATATTTGTACTCACATTACCACCAGTTCTCACTATTTTCAGGCAATAGTACAGACACTCCAACTCCATTTTTCGTTAAAGTTCGAAAAATAATTTTAATTTTTTCACAAATTTTCGACGGGACACTAATCAGCAACACTTCCGATCGATGAATATCCAAAAATTAATCCAATTAAGGCACAAATAAGCTCAGAAAGGGTTAACAAAGAGACTACTCCAAAAAGCTCACCAGCAGCGGCGAGATAAGAACAGATACTGTGGTTTGAAAGTTCGGGGGATCACTACATCCTAATTGCCAAAAAAGTCAGATAATTTCCTTCAGTTTAGATGCCAGTAGGAGCAACAGCATGTTATAAAAGCCCGCATGCTGAGAAAAAAACACTCGCGTATCCCCTGTGGACAACATGCATAACTTCCCCCAAGAACCACAACAGCCACAAGAAAGGTTATTTACACTAATTACAAATTCGACAAAAAATTAATGAGTTAATACATAGAACCAAGAACCCGACAACAAATAAAAATTAATACATAGAACAAAAACCCGACAATTATAAAAATACATCAGAAGTAACCCGACAAACAATAAAACCCCTTCAAACCAGGGTACATTATATTAAAACTTATTAGCACAGGTAAGTATGAAACAATTTCAAAAAAACAGTAAAAGTATATAAATTAACCCAAACTTGACAAAATTTATGACAATAAATTTTTCTTTCAGGTATAATATCAAAAAGTAAATATAACATCAAAGATAAGAACATCAAACCACAAGGTAAAAAATATAAATAAAACATCAGTAAATATTTGAATCCATACAAACACAAGTAAAGTAACACTTTAAAAACAAATTCTAAACCACTCATCATTAAATATAATCTGATCATTACATATCTTATAAATTAATTCACTTCCTCTATAATACATACTGAATTCTCTCTCACTCATCTTTTCACAATCACTACGTATTTTATAACAGAGTTACTGTTTAATCTTTACAATCAACAATGTCGCGTTCCACGATCTTCTTTCAAACGTCAATAAACATCTGCATTTCCATAACATTCTTTTTACAAGTGCAATGCAACAATTTAACAAATAAACATTTTGATTTCTTACACTCAAATCTACTTGGTATTTCACATTAAACCAATCTATTTTTGTCTTCCAAATTTTAGATACCCAGGACCAAGCGGACCTTGCAATATTACATTCAAAAAACACGTGAATAATGGATTCCACACCACCACACCTCATACAACGTTCATCTCTAACCCTATGGTAAAGACGTAAGTATTCCTTAGTTATAACAACATTTGACAATATTCGCCACGATGTCTCAACCCACTCGACTGGAAAATTAGAAACGTTTTTCCAAATATTTGGCCAATCTAAATTACTATTTATCATTTCTATATTTACATTTCGTTTATGAATAATAGCATAAATCTTACTCGGTCTTAGTTTTCTATTAAAATCAAGGCTATCATTATTTTCATTTATTACTTTTCGTAAGATTTCCCTCCATTTACGATACTTTCTTTTATTAGACACTATTAAAGGAAGACTTATTTCCAGTCGAGTTATTTGTCTAGAGATCGGTCCCAAAATGTATCTAACTAAATAAAATAGGGGATGATTCTTTTCTCTTAGAGCATTAATCATTACACTTATTTGCAATGAAAATTCAAAATCCTTAATATCCCACACACCCCATCCCCCCAATCGATACGATTCCTCATTATTTTTCGACTTATAGGTTCAAACGTCTTATTCCAAATATAAGTACATAAAGGTTTTTCAATATCTTTAATATCTTGCTTATCCAATTCGTTATATATAATTTATATATAAACATAGGCACAATTATTTTATTAACAACTTGAACCCTTTCTGACATGTACAGCCAATTCTCAGACCACTCTTCAATTTTACTTTTAATTTTTGTCTTTATTTCATCTAAATTCTTTATTTTTTCATTTTTCCCATACCAAACACCCAACACCTTAACTGAATCAAACCTTTCAATTTCACTTTGAGTTTTCCCAATTTTGCCTACAATATCCATAATTTTACATTTGTCTTTGTTTATTCTCATACTTGTATATTTGCAAAAATTTTGTAGTTTTATAAAAATTCTATTTAAACTCACTTGATTAACTATTAGAAAGGTAATGTCATCTGCGTGCGTTACATTATTTACTTTTTCCGTCATACCAGGGATGTACACAGATTCTATCAAATCATCACTCTTAATATTAATCAGTAATGTTTCAATATAAATAGCAAATAAAACCATAGAACTTGGACATCCCTGGCGAACTCCAACTTTACACTCTATTTCATCTGATTCCCACTTCACACTTTCCTATCATTCCTTACTTTTCTTCCCTCTTCTCATTTCCTCTAAAACTCTTCATCCTTCCTTTTCAAAGGCTATGCCGTAAGGTTCGGCCTTCTAACACTTTTAAACATATCATAACATATCTATTTCATCTGAGCATTCACTATTTACAAAAATGCTTGTACTGGGTGCCTGGTACAGTCTTTTTATAAACCAAATCTCCTTATCGTTTAACCCACACCTTTCCAAAATACGCCATAGAACTTGCCTATTTACCATGTCAAAAGCTTGTTTCACATCGATTGAGAGGAGGGAGAGTGTAGCCCCTCTCTCTTTATAATAATCTTGTATTAATTTTTAAAAAGTAATATTATTTTGAATCGTTCTTCCCGTCACTCCTGCACTTGTGTATTACCAATAATGTCTTTGAACATCAACTTGAGTCGTTTTGCTATGATGGTACTATACACTTTATAATCAACTAGTGACCCGGGACGCCCCNCTCTAGAATGAACTCCTGGACCCCGTTATACCCTGAGGGTTACACACCTTCCCCTTTGTTACTCAGGGGTCACCTGCTGTTACACCGTTAAACAAAAGTAGGGAGAAACTTCCAGAAAGAAAGACAATAGAAATGAAGACAAAGCGAAATATATTTAATAAAAATATAAACTATAACTGTACAATTATGGCATGTAGCCACAGTCTAAAATCCCCTACACCCTTATCCGTGTTATCGTTTTTCTGCAATAAAACCATTTTTCCTTGACAAAAAGTGTCGTTAAAAACGTTAAAATTGTATAAATTATATAATAAATCAACTAAACCTTCCCTAAAAAACTTATAAAATTCTGAATTTATTCCATCTTTTCCAGGTGCTTTATTACTATGTAAATTCTGGATTGCGTCATGTATTTCACTTTTTTTTATCTCACTATTTATAATTTCATTTATCTTTTCTTTTTTAGGTTTAATTCCTTCCAATATCTCTTCTTGCAAATACTCCTTGGTCTGTGAGTCTCTAAATAAGTAAGTACGAATTAAATTTAGTACGAATTAAATTTATCTATAATATGTTTTGTATCGTTTAATATATTTCCTGCCTCATCCACTAATCTTTCTATTTCTAAACTCTCTCTTAATTTACCCTTCTTTTCGAAGACTGCTCTCTCTGCCTCTCTCTTAATATTACATCTATTCAGTTTATGTCTAATATAAATATCTTTATTTTTTCTATCTAGTTATTTTGTAATTTCTTTTTTTATTTTTTGTATTTCCTCTTCCCTATTATACATAATCGCCTCTGATAGTTCTCTTTGCAGTCTTTTAATTTTAACAAACTTATCTTTTTTCTGTCTTTTCCACACTTCCTCTATATCCTTTAAACACTTCCATTCTTTCCAATCTACAATCTCCTTCTTATTTTCTATCATTTCATCCTCTAAAATTTCCTTTGTAATTTTTATTCTTTTTTCCTTTTTCTTTTTCTCTCCCAACTCAATACTAATATCTACTATCTTGTGATCCGATAATTTTCTCATTTCCGTTTCCAATTCATAGCACTTAATATCAATAATTTCTGTAATACCGTCAGATACATAAATGCGATCCAGTCTTTCTTTAATCCCACGCCCTTCCCAAGTATACCCCGGATAACACGGATAATAAAATCTAAAAACATCATAAAGTTTAAAATCATTTAAAATTCATCGTAAAATATTTCTAGAACCATCATATATAATTGGACCATTTTTGTCCATACTATCTAAAATACAATTAAAATCACCCATTAAAATTAGTTCTCTCCCAACCCTTAAAAAATCTGTTAAAATCCTAAAAAATTCTTTACGTTCAAAGACTCGAGTTGGTGCATGTATATTTATTAACCTTAACAACCGATTTCTAACATTTACATCCACAGATATTATCCTTCCTTGACAGTCCGTTCTAAAGTCATTTGTCTTTACCGTTTTTTTTATCATTAAGATAACTCCCATACTTTGTCTAACTGCGAATGACGCATAGATATTGTAGTGTGTGAAAATCCTTCTCAATTTCCTAATATCATCTAAATCACGCACATTTGTGTCCTGGATTCCAACTACATCTATTTCATTTGTTAATACCAAGTTCAATAAATAAATTTGTTTACATTGCTCTCTTAATTCCGATATATTTATAAATCTTATATTAAGTTGTTTTTTATTAGCCATGTTCTTTTCTACCTTGTGTTTGACTCATTTGTTTCCCTACTCTTAAATTTGCCTCAAACATTTGATGCTTATATTCTGCCATTTTCTGATTAATCTTTACTGCACATTGTTCCATACTCATTGGACTCTTTTGTATATCCACTATTGCTCTTTTCGTTTCCCTTTCTTTACTAATACTTCTCTTTCTCCTTCTACTTAAATTTATCTCTAATTCTTTATCCTGTTCTATATCCTGTACCATTTCTTTTACCCTATGATTTGCCCCTTCCCTCCCTTACTATATTCCTTATCAAGTTTCTCTACAATAACCACTGCTTCCGGTACTATACATTCCTCTATTTCCTTTTCCTGTTGCTTTTCTATTTCATTACTTTTCTCTTTTTGTTGTTCTCTAATCCATCTGTGCAAGCTTTTTTCTCTTTTTCTTTCTAGGCTTTGTTTCCTAGGCCCTACCTTACAGACATCAGCAAAGGTTTGCACCGGACATTTCTCAGATTTATCATGACATTTTTTACAGTTATAACATGCATTGCATTCTTTTACTAAATGCAATTTACTTCCACACCTAAAGCATTGTTTTACCAAACACTCCCTTGCTTCATGTCCAATCTCACCACATCTAAAACACTCCTTTTTGCTACCTACATAGTATAATTGCACCCTTCTTCCTAATATTTCCATTTGTACCGGTATTCTTAATCTAGTTATCAGAGTTACTCTGAACGCACCCGTTCTTACATCTGTATTTTTATATAGACTAGTATAAACATTAATAATTCTACCATATTTTCCCATTATCTCTCTAATTAATTGCTCATCAATTTCGTAAGGGGCATATCTTATCGTTACAGTGAGCATATCTGCTTCTAAACTTTCAATATTATAATATTTGTCACCAACCTGGATTTCTTGTCCTACTAACTGTTCTTTTTCTTCCACCGTATTTACACCCACCTCAATAACACCTCTTGGCCTATAACAGACCTGTCTTACGCTAAATTCTTTCTTGAGCTTTTGTTCACATGCCTTTATTAGTTCTTCCATCTCAATTCTCTCCTGACAAATTATTCTCACCGACTTGATAGTAGAATATTTTCTGATTTTTTTTCTGCTTCTAAATTTCCAGATTCCTCTTCTGTCGATGGTACTGATGTCACATCCATTAACTCGTCCGAGCCGATTACTACCGCACTGGAACGTCGACGGAGACTACGATTAGTCGACCCATCGCGGATGGAAGGAGACCTTCCCCTACCACCTAGGGCCTCCACAGAAGCATTTTCCACGCTCGTCGATGGGGTGGGCTCCCCCATCCACCAGCTTCGGCTATCAGCCGAAAAATCAAAAGTAAATGAATAAAAGGTCGGTAAATCTTAAACAAATTCACCACATACACTGTATGACTTTATAATATCCAATAAAGGCAATAAAAGACTTTAATCCAACAGATTTATTAATTGAAACACGCCCCTCACGGGTGCTGTTTAAGTGACTACCACTATAACTTTCTAAAAATAAAGTTCTTTGCCTTATTTTTATTTAATTCTATTATCGTTCTATAATATAAGTCACTCTATTCTAGATTTTTTCCACAAATTACTCACATTTTCTTTATATTCGTAAAAATCCAGCAGCAAAGACAGACACTCCAAGTCCACTTTTTCACTATCACTCGAAAAATAATTCCAAAAAATTTGGAATAATCCGACGGATTATTGTTCGCTAAGTATTCCAGGCACCAAATATCAATAATTTCACCAAATCAATCACTAAATAAGCTCACAATCGATTAACAAGAAGCTGCTCGAAAATCTCACCACCACGGCCGAGATAAGAACAGATACTGTGGTTTTAAAGTTTATGGGACAGCTATACTAACATTAATGCCAAAATACAGTAATCCTCTTCATTTTCACAGGTGCATTTCCTTCAACTTAAGCGAAAAACAGCATGTTATATTCCCGCATGCCGCCAGAACACAACACCCACGATCACAGCACGAAAGCAGGAAAAAGAAAAAACACACCAGGCATCCCAACCACCACAGAAAAGGTAAGTTACAAATAAACCAACCCGACAATTTGAACAATAGTTAGTAAATACAAAGCTCACAAACCGACAATTTAAAACAATATTAGTAAGTACAATGCTCAAAACCCGACAACATATAACAGTTATTAATAAATCATAAAATAGTATACAAAGGAACCACAAACTGGGAGTAAAAATATAAGCCTGTTTAAACACAGGTAAACAGAACAAAACATTTTAAAATTTACATTAATTTCAAAAAACACCAAAAATGACAAAATTTATACATCTAAATTTTTCTTTTAGGTAAATACATCCATTTAAAATATAACATCAATCATATACAAACAAAGGTAAATATTATTTTACAAAAAGACATCAATGATTTCAATTACAATAATTCTTATTTAACAACCACTCTATAACTTAATTTAAAACTACTCATCATTAAACTTTATCTCATTATTTTGTATTCTCCATACAACTTCAGTACCTCTATAATATCGATTGAATTCCCTTTCCGACATTTTCTCATTATCACTCCTGATTTTAAAACATAATTCCTGTTTAATTTTAGTGATTAACAGTGTCGCATTCTAAGATCTTTTTTCAAAAGTCAGCAGACACCTGCATTTCCATAGCATTCTCTTCACTAAAGCAATGCAACAATTTAACAAGTATATATTCTGGTTTCTTACTATAATATTATTTCGATATCTTACATTCTCCCAGTTTATATTCACTTTTCACACCTTTGCTACCCAAGACCAAGCAGAAACCGCTATATTGTATTCATAGAAGATATGAATGATCGACTCTACCCTTTTACATCTCGCACACTTATCGTCTCTCACTCTCTGATAAACCCTCAGGTACTCTTTACACATAACATTGGACAGAATGCGCCACGAAATTTCCACCCACTCAGCAGGCATACTAAAAATATTTTGCCAAATCTTAGACCAATTCATATTACTATTAATCATATTTATATTTGTCTGTTGCCTATGTAAACACCTATAAATATTACTAGGTCGTATCTTTCGATTAAAATCCAAAACATTATTATAATCATTCACTAATTCTCTAAAAATCTCCCTCCATTTTCTAAATTTTCTTTTATTCGTAACAATAAACGGGAAACCAGTAGCCTGCTGAGTAATGTGGTTGGAAATTGGTCCTAAAATATACCTGACAATATAAAACAATGGATGATTTTGTTCTCTTAGAATATTAATAAAAACACTTAACTGCAGTGATCGTTCAAAGTCTTTTAAATCTAATATTCCCCATCCCCCTTCATCAATGTCATTACGTATGATCTTTCTGTTAACAGGCTCGAAACTATTATTCCAAAAAAATGTATACATATCTCTTTCCAGCTCTTTAATGTCATTTTTACTCAGATTAGTAATATACATTTTATAAATAACTCTGGGTATAACTATTCTGTTTATAATCAATGCTCTTTCTGGCATATAAAACCAATTATCAGACCAGATATTTATCTCATTTTTGATTTTATTTTTCATATCCTCTAAATTATAATTATCTGCACCAACCCCATACCATACTCCCAATACTTTCATCTTAAATCAATCTCTCTCAATCTCAGTTTGACTCTTTCCTATTTCCCCGATAACATCCATTATTTTACATTTCCTTTTATTAATTTTCATACCTGTATAATCACAAAATTGTTGTAAATGTATAAATATCTTATTTAAACTGAGACTATCAACCAAGAGAAAAGTTATATCATCAGCATGAGATATATAATTAATTTTATCTATCATACCTAGTATATATATAGATTCAATTTGCCTATCATTTTGTATATTTTGTAACAGAACTTCTATATAGATCGTAAATAGTATCATAGATGTAGGACATCCTTGTCGTACACCTATTTTACAATTAATCTCATCCGATATTTCACCATTTATATGAATCCATGTACTGGGAGCATGATATAATTTTTTATGGCATTGATTTCACCAGTGTTTAACCCATAGTTTTCTAAAATCCGCCATAACACCTTTCGATTCACAGTGTCGAAAGCCAGTTTAACATCTATTGATAATAAAGATAACGTAGCTTCTCTTTCCCTATAATATTCTTGGATCAAATTTAAAGACACTATATTGTTCTGAATCGTACGCTCCTTCACTCCAGCACTTTGTGTTTTACCAATAAAATATTTAAACGTCAACTCAAGTCTCTTTGCAATCATTAAACTATATACTTTATAATCAATATTTAAAAGCGTTATCGATCGAAAATCTATTACCCCTTTATCCGTGTCATCATTTTTCTTGATTAAAATCATTTTTCCATGACAAAAAGTGTCATTAAAATTACTAAAATTGTAAAGTCTGTATAAAATATCAATTAAAATCTCATTAAAAAATCTATAAAATTCCGAATTAATTTTGTCCCTCCCCGGGTGCTTTATTCATATGAAGAGATTGGATCACATCTACTATTTCTTGTTTTGTAAATTATTTAAGATATCTTTCCCTTTATCTTTTACTGGAGTTATCCTGCTCATTATTTTTTCCTTTAACAAATCATCTACCAATGGGATTTTAAACAAATATGTATAATACGAGTGAAATTTACTTATTATCTCTCTATTACATCTAATTTTGTTGCCAGATTCATCTATTATTCTCTCTATATCTATCCTTTCCTTCATCTTTTCCTTCTTTTCAAAAACAGCTCTTTCTGCTTTTCGCTTTATACTATATCTAACTTATAATGAATATAATTTTCCTTATTCTTTTTATCTATTTCCTTAATCATTTCCTTTTCAATTCTTTTTATTTCTGTCTCATTTTCACTTATAATCGCATTTGTTAATTCTCTTTGCAATTTTTTTACTTTTATGAAATTTTATTTTTTATTCTTATCCCATACCTTCTCTATTTCTTTATAGATTTGTTTTTTTAATTCTATCCATCTCTCCCAGTTTATATTTTCTTTACTCCTTTCCAACAATCTCTGTACACTACTAGTAAAAACTTCATCTTCCAATATTTCTTTCGTAAGTTTTACTCTTTTCTCTCTCATTTTTCTCTCACCTATCCTAACATCCACTTCTACCATCTTGTGGTCTGTCAACCTCCTTAACTCTGTCAAAACAGGATAACAACTAATATTATCTATCTTATCTATAGTTTTTGAAGCATATATTCGATCCAACCTCTCCATTATCCCCCAACCCTCCCATGTATAACCCGGAAGACACGGATAATTTCCCCTAAAAATATCGTATAAGTTAAAATCATCAATAATATTTCTTAATACATTCCGAGAACCATCATATAAAATAGGCCTATTTTTATCAATACTATCTAAAACACAATTAAAATCCCCCATTACAATAAACTCCCTCCCTACCCTTAAAAAATCCATTAAAACTCTAAAAAATTCCTTTCTTTCATATACTTGAGTTGGCGCATATAAACTTATAATTCTAAAAAGACCAATCTCCAATATTAATATCTACTGCAATTAATCTTCCGTTACAATCTGTCCTAAAATCTTGTACCTTAATTTGTTTTTTTATCATAAGTATGACTTCAGTACTCCTTCTCACAGCGAAGGACGCATAAATATTATAGTTAGTAAAAATCCTTCTGAGTTTCCTCAGATCATCCATATCTCTAATATTCGTGTCTTGGATCCCCAATACATCACTTGTATTTACCAAATTACACAAAAATATCTGTTTACCTATCTCCCGCATACCAGAAATATTTACAAATCTAATGTTTAACTTTTGACAATCAACCATTATTGGTTCTTTCATCTGTTTGACTCATCCTCTTTGCTATATCTAAATTTGTCATAAATACCGACGGTTGTCTATCCCTTATCTTATTTAACGCTCTTATTCTCTGTTTTAAACTCAATTCAGGATCATTTGTTACGTCTTTCGCAGATTTTTTAACATTCTCTATTTCTGCACTTCTAATACGTCTTTTTCCTCTAGTTACTCTCCCTTCCGGTATCATTTCCGGTGTTCTCTCTAATTCCTCTACTCTCTCTCTAACTTTACCATTCCCACCTCTCTCTCCCTTATCTACCTTTTCTATTTCCCTTACTATTTCTGGTATCAAACACTCTTTCTCAACTTCCCTTTCCTTATTTACTTGCTTTTCTATTTCCATTTGTCCTTCCTTTTCTTTATCCCTTTCCATTTCCACCTGTTCCATCTTATCTCTCTGTCTGTCTCTCTTCCATCTCTCCAAGCTCCGTTCCCTCTTTCTCTCAAGACTGTTTCCTTGGACCTAACCTACATATATTTGCAAATGTAGGTATAGGACATACTTTCCCCTTTTCATGTTTCTTTTTACAATTATAGCATTTATCGCAATCTTTAACAAGATGCATTCTACTTCCACATCTATAGCATAATTTTATAGAACACTCCCTAGCCTCATGTTCAGTATCCCCACATCGAAAGCATTCCTTCTTGCTTCCCATATAATATACCTGTACCCTCCAACCCAGAATATCCATTGTCATGGGTATTCTCTTTCTAGTTACAATCATTACTCTAACCATACCTGTTCTAACTTGCATTTGTGGGTAAAGCCCTATCTGAACATTTATAATTTTACCATATTTCACAAAAATCTTGGCAATTAACTTCTCATCAGCCTCATATGGAATATATCTTACAGTTACAACTAATAAATTGGCTTCCAAGCTTTCTATAACATAAGCTTTACCTCCAATTTCCACTTCCTGTCCAACTAGCTTTTCCTTTTCTTGAACTGTTGACACACCTATCTCTACAACACCTCTTAGTCTATAACATATCTGCTTTACACTTCCTTCCTTTTTTAGTTTTTCTTCACATGCCTCTATTATTTCTTTTGTATCAATTCTTTCTTCACTAACTATTCTTACAGACCTTATCGATGAATACTTTTTATCCTTACAGCTTCTTCTTCCCCAGTATTTTCCTCCGTCGTTCCTCCTTGATTTATTTCCATCAAATCGTCCGGACCGGGGACAGTCGCGTCAGGACCTCGACAGGGACTGGAGACATTAGGTCCATCGTGGATGGGAAGGGAACTCACCTCCCCTCCTAGGACCTCCACTAATGTATTCGTCCAGCTCATTGATGGGGTTGTATCCCCCATCCAACGGCTTTACCACTCAACCAAAAAGTCAAAGATCAGCAAATATAAACTCAGTAAATTCTAGAAAATTCCACCAAAGGTCATATAATCTCCAAAACTTCCAATACAGGTAATTAGATCCACTATTAAATATACACAGACTCACTAATAGTCTATAACAATATCAAACGCCCCCGAGGTACGCCCCCCCACGGGAGCTGTTTGAGTGACTATCTTCTGTACAAATAGTTTAATAAATTCCTTCTAAATTTCTTCTATTTTAACTTCTTATAGTTCTCTCTTATTTATTCACTAGTTCTTACTATCTTATAGTTCTATTACAGACATTACTCACGTTCTTTTCACCATTCGTTCTACTCGATAGTTAAGCCTAACGCTCCACACTCACTTTCCACAAAGTTCGAAAAAATTCCAAATTTTTTGTAATAATCCAACAGAATCGTTATCGCTATTCCACCAGAACACCAAATAACAATAAAGTTGACAGTTCAAACACAGAAATAAGCAAAAAACTCAATAACAGCAGCTACTCTTAGATCTCTGCCAGCAACGCCAAGATAAGAACAAATACTGTGTTTTCAAAGTTTGGGTGATAACTAATACCAAAAATCATAACCAGGTACATTTTCCTTCACATTAAGATGCTCGACATATTATAATCCCGCATGCGTTATAAAACACGATTGCGATACGTGGACAACATGCAAGTGCAAACGCCCCAGTAAATAAACACAGCCACCACAGAAAAGGTAATTTACAAAATACAAAACCCGACAATAACTAAATGGTAATTACAAAAAAATAACATCAACCTGACAATTAAATAAAATACATCAAAAAGATAAAACAAAAATCCCCTAACAGCAGGGGTTATAGAAACCTGTCAAAACACAGGTATAAAATACAAAATACTATACTCTAAAGGTAAGTATAATATAATAACTGTATAAGTATATAAGTACCTGAAAATAGCCAAAAATTTATAACAATAAATCCTTTCTTTTCAGATATACACACCTCAAACCGAAGACTTACATCATCACAACCAGTAAGTACATTTAAAATATAGAACATTAAGTTAATTAAAAACAAAACATAAATAATTTAAAACACGTTAAGATTACAATTAACACCATTCATCATTAAATCTAATTTCATCATTCTGAATCTTCCATATAGCATCTGTTCCTCTATAATACATGTTAAATTCCCTTTCCGACATTTTTTCACTATCACTCTGAATCTTATAACAAAGTTCCTGTTTAATCTTAATTACTAGTAGTGATGCATTCCATAATCTCCTTTCAAAAGTATGCAAACACCTAGATTTCCACAACATTCTTTTTACCAATGCTATACAGCAATTGAATAGGTAGACGTTCTGATTTCTTACAATTAAATTCTTTTGATATTTAATATTCTCCCAAGTAATATTTGTTTTCCATTATCTAGCTACCCAGGACCAGGCAGATACAGCTATACTACATTCATAAAAAATATGAATTATTGATTCAACGTGCCCACATCTTGAGCATTTCTCGTCCCTTACTCTATGATATAATCTCAGGTATTCTTTGCACATTACCACATTTGACAAAATATGCCAGGATATTTAAACCCACTCAGCAGGCATGCTAAATATGTTTCTCCAAAATGTTGGGCCAATCATGATTACTATTTAACATATTTACATTCCTCTGTTGCCTATGAATACATTTATAAATTAAACTAGGTTTTATTTTCCTATTAAAATCCAATACATCATTATAGTTACTTATCAAATCTCTCATAATTTCCCTCCACTTTTTAAATTTACATTTATTTGTCATCATAAAAGGAAAACTAGCTGCCTGCTGAGTTACATGATTGGAGATCGGTCCAATAATATAGCGTATAATATAAACTAAAGGATGATTATTAATACTTAAAATATTAAAAATTGTACTCAGTTGTAATGATCATTCAAAATCTTTTAGGTCTACTACTCTCCATCCTCCCTCTTCAATATCATTCCACATAATCTCTCTACTCGTAGGCTCAAAGGTGTTGTTCCAAAGGTAAGTATATAGACCTTTTTCCAGCTCTTTGATATCAATATTATTTAAATTTGTAATATGTAACTTATATATGATCTTAGGTATAATCACTCTATTTATAATCTGTACCCTTTCTGGCATATATAGCCAGTTTTCTGTCCATATGCTTATTTCATTGTGAATTTTAGTTTTCATTTCATCTAAATTATTTTTTTAGCATTTACACCATACCATACTCCTAGCACTTTTAATGTATCTACCCGATCTATTTCATTCTGATTTTTACCTATTTCCCCTACAATATCCATAATTTTACATTTGTTTTTATTTATTTTCATTCCAGTGTACTCACTAAACTGCTGTAATTTAAGAAAAATCCTGCTCAAACTGGGTTGATCGACTAAGAAAAAGGTGATGTCATCTGCATGCGTGATGTAATTAACTTTTTCTACCATTCCTGGGATATGTATCGAGGTAATTATATTATCACTCTTCACATTTTGTAAAAGAACTTCAATGTATACAGTAAACAGAATCATCAATGTAGGACATCCCTGTCGAACCCGAATTTTGCAATCTATTTCATTAGATAATATGTTATTCATATATATACATGTGCTAGGATTTTGATATAGTCTTTTGATAAAACTAATTTCATTATCATTTAAACCATACTGATCTAAGATTTTCCATAACACTCGCCTATTTACCGTATCGAAAGCTCGTTTTACGTCAATTGAGAGGAGTGAGAGTGTAGCCTGTCTTTTCTTATAATATTCTTGTATTAAATTTTAAAAAGTTATATTATTTTGTAAAGTACGACCCTTAACACCAGCACTCTGAGTATTACTAATAAAAGATTTAAAAACCAACTCAAGTCTACCCGCGATTATCAAACTGTAAACTTTATAATCTATATTTAAAAGCGTAATTGGTCTAAAATCTGTAACCCCTTTATCTGTGTCGTCATTTTTCTTGATTAAAACCATTTTCCCGTGACAAAAAGTGTCACTACAATCAATAAAATTGTATAAATTGTATAAAATATCAGTTAAATCCGTAATAAAAAACTTAAAAAACTCCGAATTAATGTTATCCCTCCCCGGTGCTTTCTGACCATGAAGAGACTGAATTGCATCCATTATTTCTTGTTTTGTTATCTCACGATTTAACACATTATTCGTTTTCTCCTTAACAGGTATAATATTTCTTAGGATTTCTTCTTCCAGAGACTCATACGACTGAGGAATCTCAAACAGGTATGTATAGTACGAATAAAATTTTTCTAGAATTTTATTTCCGTCTCTAATTTCATTACCAAATTCATCTATAATCCTCTCAACATCTAAACTTTCCTTTAACTTCCCTTTCTTTTCAAAAACAGATCTTTCCGCTTCTCTTTTTATATTATATTTATTTAACTTATAACGGATGTAATTTTCCTTATTTCTTTTATCTATTTCTACTGTTATTTCTTTCTCAATTTTATTTATTTCTATCTCGTTTCCGTCCACAATTGCATCTGTTAACTTTATTAAATTTATCTCTTTTATTTCTATTCCAAATCCTTTTTAATTCTTTATAAATTTGTTCCTTTATCCATTCCCATTTTACCCATGAATATCACTTTTATTACTCTCTATAAGTCTCTGTATCTTATCTGTAAAGTTACTATCTTCCAATATCTCTTTCGTAATCCTTATTCTTTGCTCTCTCCTCTTTCTTTCTCCTACCCTAATGTTTATCTCAACCAACTAATCCCCTCTATTTTATCCAAACTTCTAGAGACATATATATGATCCAGTCTCTCCATGATCCTGCGACCCTCCCACGTGTACCCTGGATGACACGGATAAATCTCCCTAAAAACATCGTATAAATTAAAATTGTTAATAATATTCCTTAAAACATTTCTAGACCCATTGTATAATATAGGGCCATTTTTATCAATACCGTCTAAAATACAATCAAAATCTCCCATAACTAGTAATTTCCTCCCAACCCTTAAAAAATCCGTTAAAACTCTAAAAAAACTCCTTACGTTCGTAAACCTGAGTTGGCGCATATATATTTAAAATTCTAAAATACTGATCTCCAATATTTATATCTACTGCTATTAATCTGCCATTATGGTCCGTTCTACAATCCTGGACTTTAATAGTTGTCTTAATCATAAGTATCACCCCCGTGCTCCTTCTCACAGCAAATGATGCGTATATGTTATAATGAGTAAAGATCCTTCTAAGTTTTCTAAGATCCTCCATATCTCTAATATTTGTATCCTCAATACCAAGTATCTCAATTTCTGCAGTATTTACCAGATTAGCCAAATATATTTGTTTACCTAAATCCCTCAAGCCAGAAATATTTATAAATCTAATGTTTATTTTTTGTTGTCTATCCGTTATTGGTATTGTTTTGTGTTTCCTTCGTATTTCCTTCTGATTCCACACCCACTCCCACCATTAATGGTCCTTTAGACTGTGATCTTTTTCTATTTAAATAAAGTGCTCTCTGCTCCCAAGTTAATTTCAGATCATTATATATATCTCTTGCTGATCTATTAATTATCTCTTTCTCTGAGCTTTTAGTACGCTTCCTTCCTCTACTTTGTCTTGTTTCTGGTGTCATAATTGGTGTTCTTTCTATCTCTTCCACTCTTTCCTTAACCTTACCATTATTACCTTTCTCTGCTTTATCTATTCTCTCTCTATTTATCACTACTTCCGGTATTAAACATTCTTTCTCTACCTCTCTCTATCTGACTTTTCTTTTCTATACTTTTTTCCTTTTTCCATTTCTCTAAACTCCTCTCTCTTCTTCTCTCTAGACTATCTTTTTTTGGCCCCAATCTACAAATATCCACAAAGGTAAGTACTGGGCAAGTTTCCCCTTTTCCATGTTTTTTCTTACAATTATAGCAAACATTACATTTCTTAACTAAGTGTAATCTACTCCCACACCGATAACATAACTTTATAGAACATTTTTTTGCCTCATGTTCACTATCGCCAATTTATAACATTCTTTTTTCGATCCCACATAATACACTTGTACTCTTCTACCCAATATTTTCATTACCGTAGGTATTTTCTTTCTAGTGACTATAGTCACTCGAACAATACCCGTTCTAACATTCATTTGGGGATAAAGACCAATATTTACGCTTATTACTTTACCATATCTCGCGAAAATTTCTTTTATCAGTTTTTCATTTGCCTCGTAAGGAGTATATCTAATTGTAATTACTATTAAATCTGCTTCTAAACTTTCTACAATATAAATTTTACCTCCTACTTCAATTTCTTTTCCGACCAGTCTTTCTTTCTCCTCCACCGTATCAACACCAATTTCTATGACACCTCTAGGTCTGTAGCAAACTTGCTTAACACATCCTTCCTTTTTCACCTTCTCTTTGCATGCTTTTATTAGTTCCACTGTATCCACTCTTTCTTGACTGATGATTCTAACAGACTTAGTCGCCAAATATTTCCTTATATTTGAAGTTTCTTCTTCTCCAGGTTCTTCCTCCGTCGAACCTCCTTGACCAACATCCATCAAATCGTCCGGTTCGGTAACTTCTGCATCTGGACGTTGATGGGGACTGGAGACGGCCGATCCATCGTGGATGGAAAGGGCACCCCCCCTCGCCATCTAGTGCCTCTGTTGTTAATAATTTATCAACTACTAACGTAGGAACTTCCATCCATTTACCTCTATTAAAGACAGCACTAAATTACAGGGAGATAATCTTCCCATTACACGCCCCCCACGGGAGCTGTTTAGGTGAGTATCACCAATATTGTTCAAAAAATAAAGTTCCTTGCTATAAAACTATTGTAATTTGTTACTGTCTATCCTAAAGTCACTCTATTTTAAACTACTTTTATAATTTTTACTCACAGCTTCAATTTATTTTCCAATTTCGTATCGATAACACAGACACTCTAAGTTCACTCTGTTGTAGAAGTTTGAAAAATAATTCAAAAATAATTCAATTAAGCTCCCGAAAGGTTAACAAAAGGTACTCCCAAAAGCTCACCAGTAACGGCGAGATAAGAACAGATACTATATTTATTAAGATTTAGGTGGTTTTTCCTCATACAATATTGCATCCTCTACAATCCCTTTACAGCAAGAGGAAAAACTTACATATATACCCACAAAGGGGTTTACAGTATCATTTACATAAACATAACTAAACCGACATTCAATGAACTTTTTAACAAATTTTGCAGAACCATAACCCGACAAACAAAACTTTTAACAAAGTAAATATTCACACAATAATAAAATTATAAATAAATCATCATTAATTATTACAAATATAATTAAATATAACATCAAAAAGTGTATAAATATAAAACACACAAAATCGTATAACCCAACACCAAAAAGTTACAATTTAAAATTCAAAGTTCAGAATGAATTTCATACATTAGAACAACAACACCAACAATTAAACTTAAAATTATCAATTATTACAAAAACAATAATCATTATTCACTTTTTTCCAAATAATATTTTCTACGACGTCATAATATTTTCGCCTCTCAATCACATTTAATTTTTCCATGTCTATTTTAATCTTTATTTTTGCTATTTGTCTAATCCTATAAACTATAGCTGTTGCATTTAACCTTTTTCTATCAAAAGTCACCTCACATCTTGCTTTCCATAATTCTCGTTTAACCAAACCAACCATCCAATTAACAATATGCGAGTTATAACTTGTCTTATAATTAATGTGCAATCTAACGCTTTCCCAAGTTAACTGTACCTTACAAACTTTATTTACCCAGTTCCAGACTGAATTTGTGACACTACACTCCCAAAAGATATGGACATTAGTTTCTTCCCTTCCACACCTAGAAAAATTTGCATTTCTTAAAGTGTGGTGTAATCTTAAATATTCTTTTGACATAATAATATTTTGAATCAACCGCCATGCCGTCTTTTTCCATTCTACAGGAAGTACACTTGCATTGTTCCAAATTAAATTCCAGTTGTAATTTGTCTGTCTCATTCTCATACTTATATACTGTTCAAACAACACATTATAAACTGTACCAGGCTTGATTTGAGTATTACCAGTTAGCCATTGATTTTTTTCTTGAATTATGTTATCTACATCTTTTCTCCATCTTTTATATTTTCTATTTGTATAAATCAAAAATGGATAATTCCCAACAACCCCTGTAATTTTCCTTGCAACTGGACCTAATACATATTGTAATAGATACCAAATTGGGTGATCCTTCCTATGTAACCTATTCAGAAACACAGACATTTGTAATGCCTTCTCAAAGGCTTTTAAATCCCAAATTTCTCAACCACCATTCACTATTTTGTTTTTTATTATTTTCCGACTAAGTGGTTGAAATGTACTATTCCAAAAGAATTTATATATTTCCCTTTCAGTATGTTTTATGTCTTCTGAATCCAAATTTGTCACATATAAAAGATAAATGATTCTTGCAATAATTACCTTATTTATAATAACCACCCTTTCCGGTAAATACCACCACTGTGTTGACTATTCACTAATAGCATCTTTTACTTTACTTAGTATTAATTCTAAGTTCTTTTTTTTTTCCGTTCCCATACCAAGTACCAAATATGCATTTGTTATCCACCTGCTGTATATCTACATCAATGTTATAAATATTTCCTTGCACATTATATAATTTACTCGTACTAAGATTTAATCTCATTCCTGTCCATTGACAGAAGCTACAAATAAACCAGTATATCCTTTTTAATGAGACACCATCGGTTACCAAAAAATTTAAATCATCAGCATGTCCAAGTACCTTTACATCCTCATTTATTCCAGGTATATATACAGGGGCAATATAACTATCGGACATGATCTTTTTCAATAAAACATTTATATATATCGTGAACAATACCATCGAACATGGACATCCTTGACGCACACCGATCTGACATTCTATTCCAGGGGTAGCCAACCTGCGGCTCGCGAGCCACATGCGGCTCTTTGAATGATTATTTGTGGCTCTCGATAAATGTACCCGAGTTCCCTTTTCATTTTTGTGTTATTATATTTTAAAAAATTATTATCGTTCCGTATGTGTTTCAAAATGTCTTTTAAATTACTAACAACAAATATGAAAGACTAAGTGCAACATTGTAACAAATTTCATTTCCGCTGCGACATCTATTTCTTCTGATGTCACCACTCGTACTGATCTTACTTCACCATAATTTTTCCTTAATTTTTCCACTCCAATTTCCTTTTCTCTTTCAGATAATTGTCTCCCTGGTCTTTTATTCGGCGAGGACGCCACAGCCAATGTGTCTTCCATTTCCAGAGACATACCTTCTCGACAATTACCACTTTGGACAAACTTAACCACATTTCCTCCATCCAAAGATACCTGAGCATCTAATATATCGCTCATTAATGAAGTAGAACTTTCCATCCATTAATTAACTTCTTAATTAATTCGGCACCAAAGAGCAGCCACACCCCTCTCAAGTACTATTCAGGTGAGTACCACACCAAACGAAAATTTATAAATAAATAAAGTCTATTTCCAATTAAATAAATTGTAGTTCTTATTTACTATTATAGATTCACTCTACTTCAATTATATCTTCATTAACTAAATCGATACAAGCAGACAAGTGAACTAATTCACAGAACACGCCCCTCACGGGTATTGTTCAAGTGAGTGACACTTAAAGCGTTTAAAAATGTCAAATTTTAACTTAATAAAAACTAAAAATTCTTTAGTTTTTACTAGAGATACTCTCTACTTTAAATTATTGTCTCAATTACTACTCACAGCATCACCATAGCGTTCCAAACTCTTCCAATACTACAGACACTATAAGTTCACTTCGCCGTAAAAATTTTAAAATAATTCGAAAATAATCACAAAATTCCGACGGATTATTAATCACCAGTTCACCAATACACCAAATATTGATTTTTTATCCAAGTTAAAGCAAACAGAACTCACAAGAGGTTAACAAAGACCACTCAAAAAATCTCACCACCACGGTCAAGATAAGAACAGATACTGTGTGTCAAAGTTTGTAGATAAATTAAGTGTGCCTAATAAAGTACATTTCCTTCATATATGCAGGAGCGATCACAGATAAATGCCAGTGCCAGAATCAGAGGAGGAGGAACGAGAAACAGCAACATTGACCCGGTCGAAAACCCCACCGGCGACCCGAACCCATGAAGACATTTATTTATAGTTCAAATTAGGCTTTTTACAAACTCAACATTGTATCAACACAACATAAATGAGTTAATTACAAACTAATCCAGACAATTATTAAATCACATAGTGATTATTATTATTTACAATTTTAAAATTTTTATAAAGTTGTTATAATTTCAGAAAGAAAACAACTTATAAACCCGACAATTTAAAAGTAAATGTTATTTACAATTTTGTTACTACAATAACACATTAACTTTAAAATGTGAAATACAACAATTAATTGCAAATACAAAAATCTACATGCATATTTAAACAAGAACATGAAATATAAAGTATAAATTCAAACAAAAATATAAATTATAAAACAATTTTTGAACAACATAAAATAGAACAATAAATTTAAACATTTAAAAAGGCAAAAGTGCCAAAAAACTTTTAAAACTAAACAAAATTTCAATCATCACAAAACACAATACAATTATTAGTCATTTTCCAAATGACATCAGTTCCATTATAGTTTCTATTAAATTCACCCTCACTCATGTTCTTTAAGTCACTTTTTATCTTATATGCAGCTTCTTCTTTTATTTTGGTCACAATTAACGTTGCGTTCCATCTATGTTTCTCGTATACCTGACAACATCTCGCTTTCCACAATATCCTTTTAACTAATGCGATCATCCATATTAGCATGTAACGGTTAGGATTTCTAGTCTTAATATCTAAGAAGTATTTTATATTGTTCCATGTTATATTTGTTTTCCAGATCTTATTAAACCACATCCATACCTGTCGGGCCAAACAGCATTCAAAGAATAAATGAATCATTGTTTCTCTATTACCACATCTTAAGCACCGGGCATCTCGACCGTGATGGTAGGTAGCTATGAAATCCTTAGTCATTATAATGTTAAGTAGTATTTTCCAGGTGAGTTCCAACCACTCAGGTGGGAGATCATTCACATTTCTCCATACATGTGTCCAATTAATACTAGAGTTAATCATAATATAATTTAATTCCTGTTTATGGATTATATCATAAATTAGTTTGGGTCGAATCTTAATTGCATTATGAATAATGTTCCCATGACTATCCATTATCTCATTTATTATCTTCCTACAGTTTCTATATTTCTTTTTATTGTTTATTAAAAAGGGATACTGACCTCCCACCTGAGTGATTCTTTTAGCAGTCGGTCGTAGTATATATTGAATTAGATAACACACTGGATGATCATACTTCTTCAGAGCGTTAATCATGTGGCTAATTTGCAGTGAGCACTCTAGACTTTTGATCTCCCACACTCTCCATCCCCCATTATTCCTTTCATTTGTCATCATTTTTCTATTTAAAGGTTCCTAAGTATTCATCCAAATATATTCATAATTAACTGCATTTATTTTTTTAATATCATCAGTCGTCAAATTTGTATAGTATAACATATATATAATAGATGCAATAGCGATTTTATTTATAATCACGACGTGCTCTGGAAGATATAACCAATTGATTTTTTAATCTTCAATAACATTTTTGATTTTATCAATCATATCTTCTAAGTTCTTTTTATTACTTTCTTTTCCCACCCACACATCGAGCACCTTCATATTATCAACTTTTTGTACTTTCATTGATTCATTCCATCTCCCCGTAAATATTAAGAATCGTAGATTTATTTTCATTTACTCGCATGCCTGTATGATTACTAAACATCCGAATTTTATCGATAATTCTTTCCTGGCTCTTTTTATCTACCATCAAAAAGTTTATATCATCAGCGTGCACGTAAAACTTAGTTACTATTTTATTACCAGGGATATAGATCGGTTCAATCTTTTTATCATCTAATACATTCTGTAAGAGTACATTTATATAAATCGTAAACAGAATCATGGAGCAGGGGCAACCCTGTCTCACCCCTGCTCCACATTTAATATCCCTTGATCATTGTCCGTTTACATAAATAAAGGTGCTCGGTGCATGGTAGAGCTTTTTAATTTGTTCAATTTCTTTTTTATTTAAACCATAACTTTCTAACATTCTCCAGAGCACGTCGCGATTTACCGTATCGAATGCTTTCTGTATGTCAATTGAGAGGATGGAGAGTGGGGATTTTCTCTCCGTATAAATTGCCTGTAGTAATCTCAAAAATACAATATTGTCTTGAATTGATCTTCCTTTTATACCAGCCATCTGAGTGCTCACTATACAATTACGAAAAAGTGCCTCAAGGCTCTTAGCAATTACAGTACTAAAAATCTTATAATCTAAGTTTAAGAGAGTTATAGGTCTAAAATTAGTGACAACTTTATCCGAATCATCCTTTTTATTTATTAAAACCATTTTTCCATAAGTAAAATTGCTGCCAAAAGGGCTATAATTAAAAAGTGTATATAAAAAATCTGTAAAGTTTTCACTAGTTAATAAATCATCGCCGGGAGCTTTACCATTCTTTAACGACTGAATTGCATCTCGAATTTCATCCTTAGTGATGATTTTATTTATAATATTTTCATTTATTTGCTTTACAGGTTTAATACCTTTCTTAACATTTTCCCATACATTAAGATTTGATTGAGGAGCTTTAAACAATCGCTCATAAAAACATCTAAATTCCTCCAAAATATCATCTGTTTCGGTAAGTATTTCATTATTATTTTTCATTAATTTATTTATTTCTAGCCCTTCTTTAAAAGCACAATTTTTATCAATAATCGATAAAACATTATTAAAATTTCCAGCTAATATCAAATACTTTACACCAATTAAAAATTGTCTTAAACTATAAAAATTTTCTTTTCTTTCAGAGACTTTAGGCGAAGCGTAAATATTAACAACTCTGATAATTTTATTACTCACCTGGATATCTACTGTAAGTATCCTACCATCACAGTCTGTCTTAAAATCATACACTTTTATCTTCTTCTTTATTAACGTAAGTACTCCCGTGCTTCGTCTACTTGAGAACGATGCGTAAATATTATAACCAATAAATATCTTTCTGAGGGCCTGTAGATCTATAAAATCTTTTATATTAGTGTCTTGTATTAACAGTATATCTATTCTATTTGACAACACCAAGTTTAGCAAACAAATTTGTTTGCCAATGTCCCGAAAACCAGTAATATTAATTGATCGCACATTTATATATTTAATCATTTTCTTTATCTGTATCTGTCTTCTTTTTCTTCTGTTTTTCCTCTGTTCCCTCCATTCTTTGTCTTCGTTTCTTTTTCTCTTCCTGCACTTCCTTTAATTCTCTTTCCAAACTATATTCTTTTGATCTCGTTTTCCGTTCATAGTATGAGGTAGTTTCTTTTACTGACCTCATTCTATCTATTTTCTCCTTTTCGTTTTCTCCTTCTTCCCTCATTTCCTCTATCTCCATTCCTTTATCTTTTTCTATCTCTATTACTTCTGATTCTCTATTTATTTCCTCTTGTCTCTTTTTCTTTCTCTCCAAACTCATTTCTTTCCTCCTTTCCGTACTCTTGCTACGTGGGCCTCTTTTAACAATGTCAGAGAATGTCGGTTTTGGACAAGGTGAGTCCTTTGCATGCTCCTTTTTACAATTATAACACATTGGACAATCTTTTACCAAGTGCAACGAATTCCCACATCTGTAACACTTTTTTATCTCACATTCTGCAATCAGATGTATTGTGCTTCTACACCTACGACATTCTGGCTTCTGTCCCACATAAAAGATTTGGATCCTACATCCCAATATTTCCATATAGTTAGGAATCCTTTGATTTGTTTTTATTACCAATCTATAAGTTCCAGTTTTAATAGGAGGAGTTGTATTAAACATGAAAGCTATTATATTTACAATTCGCCCAAATGGCTCAAATATCTTCCGTAACAGATCTTCATCAGCTTCATGAGGGACATATTTTAGTGTCAAGGTAAGTAAATCTGCTTCTCTACTTTCTATACAATATTCCTTTTCTCCCAATGTTATCGTTTCTCCTACTAACTTTTCTTTTGCCTTTACCGAATCCAAACCAATCTCCACAAGGTTATTAGGGTGAAAACATACCTGCTCCACTGTACCTTCTCCTCCTAATTTTTTCGACACTTGTTTGACCAGATCAGCCACGATAACTTTTTCTTTTATTAAAATTCTAATGGATCTAACTGCCGAATATCTTCTTATCTTTTCAGAATCCTCCTCCTCATCATCCACTTCCGTCGTTGTCAAGGCTGACGGTGACATTCCACTCGCCAGGCTTCCTCTGAAAGTGACTCCCATAAATTTCCTAATATCACTGGCAGTTTCTAAATCCAAAGAGACCTCTTGACTTGTCCCTGGTCCAGGATCATGGTCAGACATCGGATCTATTCGAACAAAGCTTCACCCAACACAAAATGGTCAATTAATTAAAAATAACTTAAAGTTCGAAGAAACACTTATTCAATAAAGGTTATAGAACATTTAAAACATCCAATAAAGACAACGAAGTCCAAATAAATCCCAATATAAGTCCACAGGTAAGTCAAACTCCCTGTGACACTCCCCTCACGGGAGCTGTTCAGGTGTTTCTCACCAAAAAAGTTTATTAAATCGAATTATTCGCTCTATAATTATTACTATTGTCTTCTCTCTTATTCACTGTTACACTATCTTAATGTATTATCACAGTTATTACTCACAGCTTTGTAGAATCGTCCCACTTTCGGTCGATAGTCCAGACACACAAAGTTCACTTTTCCTTATAGGGCGAAAAAATAATTCGAAAATTTCGTAAAAAATCCAATGGAATATTGTTAAGCACTTTACCAGAACACCAAATATCTAATAATTAATTTAATAGGAGAAAAAATAAGCTCTCAAAGAGTTAACAAAAGACCACACAAAAATCTCTGCCAACATGGTCGAGATAAGAACAGATGCTGATGTGTCAAAGTTTTGAGCATTATGAGGTTAAAGGGTCAAAAGGAACCTTCCATAACACAGCCAACACCCCCTTTAACCCCCCGTACAACAAAGCCCACAAGTCCTAGGACCCCGGCGAAACGTTCTATCGAACAAACGGAAGGGGTAGGGAGGGGAGCGGTCATCGTCTTAAAACTTAACTTACTCTCAAAACTCTCAATCCATCAGCATGTTAGTTACAAAACCAACAATGTGTTAATACAAACAACAAAACTTACAATCAACTTAAAACTATAAAAACCCAATTGTTTCCAAATTGCATCAAAAACGTTTGCGCAACCAAAGCATCTTTCCCAAATCTTTGCCCAGCAAACCCGAAACATCAAAATACAACACCCTTCAAGGTAAATTCCTTGACAACCAGGTAAGTACAAACTCAATCTTCAACAAACAAGTTAAAACTTCAAAAACTAAAACACCATTGATCCCACTCTCCCCCCATCCTAATGTGCAATCAACCACATAGGCATGCAGGGAGGGGGAAACAAACAATCCATCATCCTTAACTCACTTAAAACAGGTAAGTACAAACCAGTACATATTAAAATAACATCAATAACACACAACTTAAACCCGACAATTCTTAACTTTAAACATTATAAACATCAAAATTTTAACAGAAAAATCAATAAGCATACAATCTTATACAATCATCTAAACCAAACATATTATAAACCATAGAAGTATCTATCCATCATTCCATATTGTTCCTTTTGTCGCCTTGTAAGCAAACGTAATCTTTCCAAAGTTTTTTAAGGCTCGACACTAATTCTCTCTTTAAAACAGCTTTTATTCCATCATCCTCTTTACTTACTATCTCATTCCATAACGCAAAGTCAAAATTAGTCCATCCTTCTTCTTTTAATTCAAATAACGATTTTCTGTAAATCTGTCCTCCCAACCTCACATCAAATACCTTTGGCCACGATTCTTGTCCCAATTCTCTCCAACTTCTTCGCATTGCCTCAGTAACTTTAAAATTTTCTTTTTTTTTAACAACACTTCTTGTTTCCCTATCAACATTAACACTTCCTTTCTTTGCCTCTTGTCCTTCACTTCCTGTGCTTTCTCTTCCTCTTTTCTTACTATTATCTATACCTAATTCACTTTCTTCTTCAATACTTTTTTCACATATTATACACATTTGCTAATTCTTTTTGAATTTTCGCTAAATTTCCATCCTTCTCTTTTATCTGTCTCCCCACTGACACTTCAACTTCATTCATATCCTCACAATCTTTTCCTTCACCTTGACTATCAATTTCTCCTCCCTCATTTCCTATTTTCTCAACTACTACTTTGTCACAATCTTTCTTTCTATGTCTCGCTCTCCACATACAAAACACTTTATTTGTGGACACACTCTTACTCTATGTCCTTCCATTAAACAATTTTGACACAACCATTTAACTCCTCTATAGTCAGCTCTTATCTTACACCCTCATATAAATACAAAGTTCGGTATTTCCTTCTTCACAATCACTGTCACTACTCTAGTACCATTCAAAATTTTTGTATTTGGCAAATAATACTGTTTCGTTATACTCTGACATTGAATTAAAATGAACAGAGTATGGGCAATCTCCTTATTCGTTATTTCGTACAGTACACGCCTTAACATTACTCGTTTAACGTTTCCTTTCACACTATTTAAGTCCAACGATATTCCATCATAAATACAACCTCCTGCCAACGTATTTCATTTATATTCTTCATTTTTAAACGTAATTATACATTCCCTTTCCGTTAATTCCTCTACCTGTGTTATTCCTTCCACATCCTTCATTTCTTTCAATAAATTTTTAACAAAATTTTTCCAATTCATCTCTCACGGAGCAGAGAAACGTATAGACAACTCTATTTCTAATTCCTCCATCTTTTAAAGAACTTATTAAACAATCTCTTTCCTTCAAAAGAAAGGCTATATCCAACAGCACTAGGAACCAGGGACTGGCACAGGAGCCAAAATTAACTGCCACCAAACACCAAAGTCCAAAAGCCAAGATAGTAGACAAAAAATCAATTTTATCTTATTAAACACTATAATTCATCAATTATTACTATTATATCATTATTTTCTCTACTTCTATTAATGTTTAAGTTTATGTTGACTAATTTTTCCACATTTATTCAACAATCCACGCCCCTCACGGGTATTTTTCAAGTGTCTATCACTAGAACTATCGTTTAAAGTCAAAATTTTACTTAATTTTCACTCAATTACTTCAGTTTCTATTACTCAGTCACACTATTATTTGTTACTTTCACTATAAGTACTCACGAATCCCTCATTTACTTCTATTTTCGTCCACCATCACAAAACACTCAGTTCATTCCATCGCTAACTTCCGTAAAATTTCGAAATAAATTTGCACCAATCCAACAACACATCCTTCTCTAATCCATCAGAACATTAAATATCACTTCTTTATCCACTTAAAAGCATGCACAAGCCTACAACAAAACTCAAGCAGCTGCTCCCAAAAGCTCACCAGCAGCGGCGAGATAAGAACAGATACTGGTTTATTAAAATTTAAGGTGGGTGTTCCTTTTACAAATCAAACATCCTCTACAAGTCTTACACCTTCAAGGAAACCCTTACAATTTTTAACCAACAATTAAAGTATCCATTCATAACAATCAAATTACAAACAAAATACAACATCAAAATTACATTTCAAGTTAAACAATCAAAAACTTTACAATTTCATCACACAACACAGGTGTGTATCAACATATACCTTTAACATCAAAAAACTTATTTATTAAACCCTAGGTATACTACACAACCTGTTCACAACATCAAAAGAATTTTAAATTCCAATAAAACACCGAACAAAAAAACAAAAATCATAACTACAATTCATGCACTTAACCTTAATAAAACACATAAAACCATATCAAATTTACAATTAACAAAATAACTCAACCCGTACAAACTTGTACAATACTTTCAATATAAACATTCCATAAAATATAAATCTAAAATATATAATANAATTTCACCATAATACTTCCTTATTTCAATAATACTCATTTTCTCC